ACCCTTGCAGCCCTTCTCCCCCTTCCCTGTTTTTTAATTTGAAGCATCTATCTGGAGCATCCTGAGATGGGACCGTCTGCAATACTGAATGCATTACACTGCTGACAGCTCTATTGATTTTCTCTCTCCTGCTTCATAATGCAAGATATATACAAGCCGATAGGTTGACCCCTGTCCCTTGCTTTGAAGGGACCGTGCCCTTTTTCTTTCTCTCTCTCATGTCCCCCTCACCCTGGCATACGTTGATATATAGGAGGGGTGTTTGTCCCTTACGCTCAAGATGGATTCTCCTCTGCCCCGATATTATTTTCCTCTCTGCTGGTGGACGCTGTCTAATCCATCCTTTTTACGGTAGCAGGTTGGACACCGTGGAAGCCGTTCACAGTGCAAAAGGGTTGGTGGAAGCAGGGGAGTTGAGGAGGTGGCATCTGTCAAAACTGGCTGTGTCCCCTCTGGGCAAGACCAGGCAGACTTTCCCAGGGGTGCCCTCTGCCGGCCTCACCAAGTCTAGGGCCACCCCAGCCCACCTCCTCTTCTCTGGGTTGTAGTTCTCCAAATCCACTGGCAACTCTTGACTTACATTCAGTTCACAGTCCCAGAGCCAGCTGCTGGGCTAAGCGTTTTCTGTTGTGGTTTCTGCTAAGCAAGGCAGGGAAGTGGCAGACAGTCATGTGGGCTACACCCAATTGGCATAGGGGTCTGAAAGGCTTGGAAGGAGGGATTAATATCCCTCCTCAACAGAGACTGAGGCTCAGAGATGCCAGGAGACTGGTTCAAGTTCTCCCAGCCAGACACAGGACTTGAATCCAAGACTATCTGTCTCCAGGGTCAGTTTTCCATAAATCCTATCACAACGCCTCCTCCAGGAAGACCTCCTGGACTGAGGCCACCTAATCCAATTGCTTCTTTATTCTTGTCCCCCTGGAACATATTTGCTTTGAAGGTTTGCTCTTGCCGGCTGGCTGCTGAGTGTGTTGGGTGGGTTCTCTCTGTTGTGAATCAGCATCATTGTTACTTCCTCCTGGCGGGTTTCCCTGGGCCCAGCCTGTCCCCAGCCCGGATCAATCTCCCACGGTCCCCATCTGGTCCCACAGTGAGAAGCACTTACTGCCTTATCAGTGCCGCTCCTGCTAGTCTGTGATTCTCTGGAGATGGGGACAGAGATGCAGACCGTATTTTATTTCTGCATCTTCACCGCCTGGCCGACAGAAGGAACTCTCTAAAAATGGGTTGAATCCGTTTAATCAGTCAATGGGCCGTCTGGGCGGGTGGGTGTTTGCTCTCTTAGAGGTCCCTTAAAGGCAGGCTCTGCAGGAGCTTTTTCTGCCTTCTCCCCTCCACCCCCCGTCACCCAACCCCCAGCCCCACACAAGGCCTCCCACTGGAAACGGTCCTCCAGCTGCCAAGGAGGAGAACACCATTCCTAAGGTTCAGGGCTTCTGGCCGATGGGGCCGCACGTGCTCCTGGTGACTGACTACCTGGCCACATCCATCTTGCCAGCCAGCCAGAGACCCACAGAGAAGCAGCAGAAAAGGATGCTGAACCTTTGAGCATCCCAGAGCAAGGGCTGGGTACCAATATGAGCAATGGCCATGGGGTGCAAAGACAGAGGCCTGGGCCCATGAGTACCTGGCCACAGGTGCAGGACAGATGTCATTATAATAAGGAACATCCTCTTGGTTTTGTCTTTCCGGTCCAGTGGCTCTCAACGTGGAGTGATTTTGCCCCCCAGGGACGCGTGGCAATGTCTGGAGATGCGTTTGTCTGTCACAGTTGTGAGGGTCCAGCATCTGGTGGGTAGAGGCCAGGGAGAGCTGAACATCCTACAAGTTTCAGAACACCCCTCCCCCCAAAAAACAGAACGATCCCAAAAGCCAGCAGTGCCGAGTTTGAGAAACCCTGTTCCAGCCCGACCAGCCATGCCTTGTGGCTTTTAGCTCAGCAGCTGGGAGAATATCGAACCTGCATCCCTCGGGAGCACCTGAGATTCTCCTGGACTCCTTGGGGGCTGGAGGAGGGAAGAAACCTGCGTTCCTTTAGTCCTCTTGGGTCCCCCCAAAAAGCACCAGCCTCCGTGCCCGCACCCTGCCTCCTTCCCTCCCTCATCAACCTTTTCCCAAGTCAGCAGATTCAAAATAACCCCCTTCCAAGATGGTTTAAAGGACAGCCCTGCCGCCTGACAAAGGCGTGGGCCTCTTGGGGGCCTCTTGGAAATTTTATAAGGTGGTAGATATGAGAGCACCCCGTCAGGTGTGAAATACCATACAAATATTACCTCTAATTATGTAAGTGCTCTCAGCCGGGGGTTTTAGGATGCAAGGCAGAAAGGGGCCAGAATCTTCGCTTTCCATTTCCAGTCACGGCCTCAGCGCCCTCGTGTGGCCACTGATGGAAACTACACCCAGGGCCGGGCGGGGATTTTCAGACCCGGGGCGGGGCAGGCAGGATGGCTCTGACTCTGGCTTTTCTCGTTGTCCCATTTGGGCTTCACAGCAGCACCCGAGGGAGGAGAGAGAGAGGTAGTATGACCTCCCCCGGAAAACCCCTGGAGCCAGCCATGGGTTTTTGCAGGATGACGCCTGCCGTGGACAAGCCCAGCCCTGCAGCGCAGCATAAAGTGGGAAAGGCAATTCGGGGAGCCGCTCCTCTCCCGCTGCCTCCTGGCTCTTATAGAAACCTTGAGCTCCCCCACTGGCACCCCCAGGAGGTTGGTCTCTGTGTTTTGTTACTAGACATCTATGTTCTCTTCTTATGCAGTTCAAGAGGCAAACATCTGTCTCTGGGATCACTGCCAAAAGGAAGGGGCAGCCCCCCTCCCTGTCCCTGTCCTGTAGGTCCCAGTGGGGAGAAGCAGCAGGCATTCACTCAACAAATATTTTTGTGGACCTATTATGTGCCAGGCACTGCTTTGTCCGAATTAATCACTCCCTCCCTCCCTCCCTCCCTCCCTTCATCCCTTCGTTCATTCATCCAAACATCCCTCCATCAATCTATCCACCCTTCATATGGTGAGTGATCTCGGATGCTGCAACCATCTCGAGGATCCTGCATGTCAGCACTGAGCACCTCTGTATATGTATGAGCAGTGCATTTTGGGAGTTATCAACAGAATGCAGAACCTCGTCCTCGCCTCTATAAAAAAGTCGGTGCAAACGTATGGGAAGTTTAACATTGCCGCACAGCCTATGGAAAGGCAGGTGGGAGTAACTGCTGCATGAGTGACGGGTGACAGGAGGCAGAGGTGCAGGGTCCTGCCCAGAGGAGAGGGCGGAGCTGAGCTCTGAGGATAAACAGGACCTAGGGTCAGAGGGGAGGGCACAGGCCGATGCCTGGGGTCAGGAAGTGCCCTTAAGACACCGGTTGGCTGGGCTGAAAAGGTCGTTGCTTTTGGCGGTGCAGTGGGGGAGAAAAGACCAGAAAGGCATCAGCCTGAGATGGAGGGGGGCTGTCAGGTCAGGCTGGGGGATTTGAGAGTGTCTTTCTCAGGTCAGAGCTGAGGCATCCTGACCTTCAGATAATCTCATATTAAGGCCCTACCAATTAACTTTTCTCTTTGTTAACACCCAGAAGCATCTGTAGTCACAGAAACATAGTTTGCCTTCTTTTAAAAGGCTGTCTAGCACCATTAGAGGATTTCGTGATCTCCCAGGGGCAAGGACTGTGGGTTTATCCTTCCCTGTATCTCCAGCATCTCTAGGAAAATGCTCAGCCTGGGCTTGTCTAATGGGAGGGAAGTGGGGAGGGGAGTGGGTTCAAAGCGAAGTTCATGGTAAAGGACTCTTTTCTCTTCAGATGAGCTGCTCTGTAATAATGCGCACAGGGCAATTACATTCTGTTGTGCAGTTATTAAATTGGGGAGGAAACAAATATAATAAAATGTAGACATTTGTAAGGAGGTTAAAAATAAAGTGGAGGATGAAAATTAAATCGATAACCTCAGGTTTCCTGGAGCCTGCCTGAAAAGACGTTCTGGAAGAGCTGAGGGTAAATTTGTGCTGAGAAAATAATACCAGGGATGGGGTGAAGGCTGCGAGGAACCAAAGGGGCAAAGGGAACGCTGCCTTCCCAGAGCTGCCAGCCCGTTTCAGGTGGGCAGCCTAGTGAGGAGGTGGTCAAGAGTCTGGGAGCGTGGTTCCGAGTCCTGACTTCACTTCTCCCAGCAACTGACACGCCTTCATTCTCTGCGGTAAGACTGGAGTAAACGACCGGAGCCACCCATCACAAGCACGCCCGAGGATCACAGAGGCCCTATGGGTAAAGTGCTTAGTACAGGAGATGCCCGGTGTGAGTGTTCCATAAAACGTTAGCTATTCCATGTTTGGTTTTTTTGGGGTTTTTTTTTTTTTTGCGGTACGCGGGCCTCATTGTTGCGGCCTCTCCCGTTGCGGAGCACAGGCTCCGGACGCGCAGGCCCAGCGGCCCTGGCTCACGCGCCCAGCCGCTTTGCAGCATGTGGGATCTTCCCGGACCGGGGCACGAACCCGTGTGCCCTGCATCGGCAGGCGGACTCTCAACCACTGCGCCACCAGGGAAGTCCCTATTCCAAGTTTTAACTTGCTTTTATGGTACCAGTTCTTAAAGGAATTGGAAGCAGCCAGTGGAAAAGCTCCGTTCAATAAGAAGAGGCGAGCAAGAGGGCCCTGCCCATGACACATTAGATGTCCGTGGCAAAGGAGACCAGAAGGAAAAGGGAGGAACCCCTAGAAAGAGGTTATAAAATGTACGTAGGAGGGTTCCTCCATTTAAAAGAAAAAAAAATCTCTGCGTAGATGCCCAATACACAGGTCTAATGAAAGTAGTAGATAGTAAGTCCTAACACAGGTCTTCAAACCGAATCTGAAATAAAACCTAGCAAAGCCAAGGTGGGGTTTGGACCGGAGGATAGAGGAGGTAGGGAGTGGTGGAGGGAAGCGGCCCATTGCTTTCGGGGAGCCGCGCTGTTAATCCAGGAAGAGACGCAGCGATGGGAAAGGCGAACGCCTGTGTTATTCTTGACCCGTTGCGGACACCGTACCCAGCTTCCTCTGGGGGAGGGCTTAACTGCCCGGAAACGGAAGTCTTTCTTTTCCGTTCTCCTCGCTTCTGGCTGTTCACGGTGAGTGTTTCTCGGGCCCTACGTTGGGAGTCGGGGGGTTATCCGTGGTAATCCACGGCTGGGTGATGTCTGGGGACCCAGGGCCTGGATCACAGGTGCGGGGGGAGGAGGATGGAGTGCGATGGGGCCGGTATTTCGGGGGTGTGGGGAGGGGAAGCGGGGTAGCCGCTGGTCCCCGCATCCCATGGTCACTGACGCTTGTTTTCCCGTAGGTTCTGCCCGTGCTCTCCGCGCCTCGTCGCCATGGTGAGTACGACCCCTGCCTGGGGCCTTTCCGGGGTTGGGGGGCGAGGGGCGAGGGCAGGGGCGCCTGTGCGAGGGTCTTCCGAGCCCCGAGAGGGGCTGGTGGGCCCGACCATCCTAGAAAAGCGTGTCTCTACAGTTGCTTCTTTTTGCTTTGTGTTGCAGCCTCGCAAAATTGAGGAAATTAAGGATTTTCTGCTCACAGCCAGGCGAAAGGACGCCAAATGTAAGTGAGGGTCTAGACGAGCGAGTGGAAAGGGTCGCGTTGGCGCGGAGCCGCTCCTGCACGGGCGCTGGGCCGGGCGGCTGCTTAAGCCTGTGCGTGCTGTCGGGAAGCAGTGGTTTTAGCAGGTCTCGCGTAAGAAAAGGTGGTTGGCCAGTGTGTTCTCTTCCTTAGGTAAATGTGAACGTTTAAGAAAAGTCCTAAGGTGTTTTGTTCGTGTGTGTCCTCCTGTGTATGGTAGGTGCTCAGAACGGAACCCTTACTGGGTGAAAATCTGGAAACGCGCGTTTCGTAAACCCCGACTTAGTGCTGCATGTTAGGCTCTGGGCTGAGCACAGGTCCTGCTCACAAGGAACTAAGTCATTTCCCTTCTACGTGAGTTAGCGTCCTAGCCTGTAAACGAAGGGAAAAGTAATTGATGCATCAGAAACATAAAACAGCGAGTTTTTGGTGGACGTGTGCCAGCTCCAGCTGCCAGTGTGTTCTCTCTACACGGGGAGGGAATTCTGCTGGTGTGCCTGTGTTGTAGTTGAAGGAGGTGTGGGGAGCTTGTGCTCTATACTAGATCTTGAACTGCCTTAACCCGGAGTCATCTTTCTTGTGCTGCTCCTTATAGCGTTCTTTCCCTCCCAGATTTGTGCTAAAGAGAAAATCGGATAACGCATGAAGGTGGAGTACTCTCGGGCTGACTTACTTTAAGGTGGGCTAAGGCGCCAGCCGTCTCTGACGCCCCGTGTCAGTGGTAGGGTGAAGCAGTGGCGTGCAGGAGAGCCTTTCAGGGAGTTCACGGGGCTTCAGGGAGAGTCATGTCTGTGTCCCCTTTACCTGAAACAGGTTGTTGCCTTTGATGCCCTGGTGCTGTGTGAACTGGTGACCACCTGTGAGAACAAGTAGCATCTGGTGGGAATGTCTGTCCTGACGGGTGGTGGGGACCCCGGGTGACAGTGCGCTTGTGTTTTTGTAGGTACTGTGGTGCACAAAGGAAATGTATCAGGTCAGCCTTAGTCCGGGCCCCGGAATTTGCTGTCACTGCCTGGGCAGATCCCAGCTCTACCAGCAGGTAGCTGTCCTTAGCGAGGTAAACACAACCCCACTGTTTTGTTTCTGTTGAAGAGGGGGTGATGACATCTGTCTCCTAGGATTGGTGCAAGGATCAGATCAGATGATCTCTTAGAGACGTCAGCACGTTGAGCAAGTGACACCAAATCCATCAGATGTCTTTGCATTTTAATTCTGTTGGGGAGCTTGAGTTTAGACAGTGACCTGTGAGAGTAGGGGTCACGTTCCCCTGGATGTGATAGGGTGCTCAGTGAGTGTTTTGTGAATACACCTTTGAATATTTCTTTATAGTTTTAATTGTAAAATATAAAATTGTTTGGTGTGCAGTTTACTGGCTTTGAGTATGTTCACACGGTGGTGCAACCATCCTTTTCCAGAAATTTTCATCTTGCAAAACTGAAACTCTGTAACCCATTAAACAGTAGGTCTCCATTCTCCCTCCAAGCCCTGGCCACCACCATTCTACTTCGTCCCTATCAGTTTGGCTCTTCTCGGTGTATGTCGTGTAAGTGGATCCTCTGGTATTGGTCCTTTCATGACTGGCTTGCTTCATTTGGCATGAGATCTTCAGAATTCATCCACGTTGGAGAATTTGTCAGGATTTCCTCCTTAAGACTAAATGGTCCATTGTGTGCACACGCCACATTTTGTTTCTCCATATCCGTCCGTGGACATTTGGGTGGTTTCTGCCTTTGGCTGTTGTGAATAATGTTGCTGTGAACGTTGTACAAACATCTCTTGTTGCTGCTGTCTGTGCTTTTGAGTATATTCCTATAAGTAGAATTGCTGCATCACATGACGTTGAATAAACACTTTTAAGAGATGCGTCTGCCTTATCTTGTGAGGGTTCAGTTAGTTTATAGATGCACGGCAGCTACTAGGGACGACGCAGTATGCTTAGCTTTGGGAGGAATGTTAAGGTAGCAAACTAGGTTGGTTTGAGTAAATATCCACGTGCCTGATGTATTAAAACAGGAGCCAAGGCAGCCCGTGCCCTCGGCAGGGCCACGGAGCTTCTGCTTCCTGTGACGTGTCCCACCCCTTTAGCGGTTTATTGGCAGAGATGGAGCTGTGGGTTGTGAGTCCAAGTTAACTGTGCTGTAGAAGTCGGAATGGGGAACTTGACAGGTGCCTGACATGAGTAACCTGGGAAGCCGATGTCTTCCTGCCGCCAGAATAGGTGGCGGCCTCATGAAGGTTCATCGACGCTTGTACATAACCACGCTGTTTGCTACATTTCAAACCTTGCGCTGTTGGACTTTGAGCACGCCTGGGGCTCTTTGTTGTCTGAGCTGTGTTCCCGAGATGGAATTTTAAAGCAATAAAGAGCCCAGAACATGTGTTCTGCTCACATTTGAGGAAAAGCTTCAGCACATGCTCATTATGTAGGGGGGCAGACCTGAAGGAAGAGCCTTAGCATCGCCCCCGATGGCATCTCATATGCAGTTATTTCTAGAAGGGTGGTGGAAAGTTCTTGATCTCAGCAGATAATCCATCTCCTTACTTTATGAACTACTTTCATCCCTTAAAAAATAATAATAATGAGATGGACACAGGATGGTCTAGGATGTGTTCAGTGTACCAGATACTACCTGTGTTTTAAATATAAACATTAAGCTCCAGGTTCTTGAGTAGTAATGTAAGGGAAATGAAGATTTCTGACATTATTTTTAAATACTGAGCTCAGAGGAGGGCGGGGGCATCTTGTTTTCTGTTTCAACAGAGGGACAGTGGAGGGAGGCAAGCACAGCTGTCACACGTGCCACGTCCTGCAGACCTACAAAGCCGGTGGACTGTGCGCCCTCTCTTTTCTGTGATACAGTTTAATTGTTAATTCTGGTCTCTGATAGCGGTCAAGATCAAGAAAAATAAGGATAATGTGAAGTTTAAGGTTCGATGTAGCAGGTACCTTTACACCTTGGTCATCACAGACAAAGAGAAGGCGGAGAAGCTGAAGCAGTCCCTGCCCCCAGGTGAGTGAGGCGGGAACCCCGGCGGGGGGGAGCAGCCCGGAGTGTGGGGGTCCCTGTGTCACCACCTTGTTTCTTCACTTGTCCCCAGAATGAGGAAAGTCCATTCTGTACTTTGTCTAAGTATCTGCTCTTGCTGTGGCTGTAGTGCAGGGAATATGTGTGGTTCTCAGAGGTTAGATACCATAGCAGAAATCGCTTCCGTGGCCACAGGAAAGTTTGTTTCAGCCCCTTCAGTGCTTTCCTAATGCAGCAGCATAACGGCCGATGCTCATTCTGTCACTCACCTCATCCTCACCGCGGCCCTACAAGGTAGGTAGGTGCTGATATATTGATGACCCCCATGTTTATAGGCTGAGGGACTTATTAAATACAACAGGCCATGAGCGTAGGTTAGTTAAGCATAGGGGCCTGTCCTGGTGGTGGAAGGCTCAAAAGGGCACCTGGGAGGAAACTGCCCCAGGAGCCCAGAGGGGGTTCCAAAGGCTGCTGCTTCACAGTGAGAAGTCAGCCAGCACCACTTGCCCTTGTAAGACTAACTGGAACGTCTTTAGAAAGGCTGAGAGAGGGAACGTTTTTATCATCAAACGCTAACTGTTATGTTTTAAGCGAAACCGTCCTGGTGGGCTTAATTTCTGAGCTTTGCGAACCCTCTGTAGCTTAAGTGCAAAATCCAGACAAGCAGTAGCTCAGATAAAATGAATAATCTTCTGAGTGGCTTACTTCTGGTGTCTCTTTTCCTCTAGGTTTGGCAGTGAAGGAGCTGAAATGAATCACGCACACTGATTTGAACTGTATTAAAAAAAATTGTAATTCTCAAAATGGCCTTTTTCTTTGAGGATGGGGGGTGTGGGTGTTACTTGGAATGGCTTCTGGTGGGAATAGGATGGGGGTCCTGGTTGCTACCTTGTTGCATCCCTAATCTTGGGCTGTGATCCCAGTGGACAAATAAAGCCATCTTTTTTTTTTTTCTTAAGCCTAAGTTTGAAAATAAGTAGATGGAAATAGGCAGTTAAAAGAGCCAATTATTGGTGGAAGTGAAGCCAGTCTGCACTCGTGGGATGTAAAAGTCATTTAGGTAAAATGAGCTCCCTTGTCATGAAAATGATAGTTAAAAGGAGGAGTTGATCAGCCTTCTTGGAAACGGCAGTAAATGAAGCCGTCTCCTCCTCAGGAGGTGGTGGCGCTTTTGTGTCTGCCATGTTGAAATGCTTCTTGATGCGGAGGTGGATGTGTGATTCCCTCCCCTCCCTCGACTAAGACACTTGTGTTCTCAGGCACAGGAGTGAAAATTCACTCTTGTGTGTTTCCTAAGTGCTACTCAAGATTAAGTGGAGCTCGGGAGTGGTACTTGGTGCCGTGAGATGAACGCAGATGAGAGGACAGTTTAGATGAGGGGCTCTGAGAAGGAGCCTGTGAGTTAAGCATGGAGATGAGTGGATGTTAGCCCAGCGAAAGGAGCCCCTGGAACCCAAAGACCGGTCTGAACATTTAAATGGAGGAGCCAGAGATCTGACCCCGCACCTTGAGGCAGTGCAGTGGTGGGTGTGGGGATAGGACACGCTGCTCAGACAGGTGCATGAAGACCCGAATCCCACCTCCCAGCCAGGCCTGGCTCCTTGGGGATTCAGTCCTGCTTCCACTACTTGCTGACACGAATGATCTTGAGAAACTACCGCAGCTCCCCCTGCGCCAGTTACCAATCCTGGGGAGGACTCCAGACGCAGATAGGGCAATACTTAGAAGGCAAAATCGCCTTCAGTAGTGGGTGTTGGTCCCCTGTGGCCAGCGAGTGTCTGCACGGTGGCAGGGCAGTTCGCTTACATGCACCCCTCCTGCCTCATGGAAGGACCCCCATCCCTTCCCCACAGAGCAGTATGGAGGGCCAAGTGTTTTAGGAGGCACGCATTTTTAAGCAGGGAAAGTGATTCATTGAGCTTGAAATAAGGAAATTTCTCACACTGGTGACAACGACGAGCCCGGCACAGGTCCTGTGGGCTCATTACCCTTTGGCCAGGAAGTCTTCCCCAGCCCGAGGACCAGTCTCAGGCAGCTGAGTGGGGGTCGCCAGGGCGCTTTTCCCAGCACTAAGTTCCCAGGTTATGGCAAGTCCCCACTGCAGTGGTTTCAGAGTCCAGTGAGCTACACTATGGAGGTTAGGGTCTTGGCACGGTTGTGTGGGTGCACCACGAGGTGGCGCCAAACTACGGCAAATGAGCGCCGGCGGCCCGGGAAGGTCTGGCCGTGGTTTACACTGAGATCTACGCCCAGGTAGCCAAGTGGCTGAGATCGTTTGTAGGCTTTTTTCTATAAGAATTCGAGGCATGTGAGGTCCTTTTTCAATCTAGTCCTGAGGAGTTCGGGTTTTGTTTCCTCCGGCACAAGAGTCCTCGGCGCTCAGTGGTTGTCGACAGACCCAGATGGGGCGCCTTCAGCGGCTTCCAGTCCTGCCCGCCCTTTCATTGGTCCAGCTTCCCAGGAAGAGGGCGGGTTTACCACTTGGGCTCCCTTTGTCCCAGCACATTTTGCAGAGACCAGCCCCAGTTCCTAGGATACAAACCCCGCAGGCATTTGTCTAGAGAAGGCATCCTTTCATGCTGTGGTTCTCAGCCCCGGCCTGTGCCTGCCAGTCATTTAGGGCACTTTTTAAAAGTTCGCTGAGGCCAGGTCTGGTTCCAGAGATTCTGCGTAAGTTGGTTTGATGCATCGGTATGTGTTCAAGCCCTCTGGTGCCCAGGGCCGACACTGCCTCTCTGAGGTCAGCCGGTCAGCTTGGGTGAAGTGGTTCCTGCCACGCCAGATGAATGGGGAGCTGCGTAGGCAAGAGGGCTGTTCGACGCCCTTAACGAGGCCCTGGGAGGTCTCACGTTTCTCTTCTGCTTCTCTGCTTCACTGGCGTCCCATCTAGGTCAGCAGGCCTCCGGGGAAGCAGCTAGAAAGGTCACTGTCCAGCTGGGTGCAGACCGGCCCAGCAGGTTTGTGTGTTCCAGGCTGCACCCCGTGGCTGCGGTGATGGCCCTGAGGGTGGGCTTGTGCAGTCAGCGTCTTCAGGTGTGGGCTGCGGGCCCACCCTTCCCCGACCCGTTCTGTCTCTGGGCCCAGCCCCAGCTCCAGCAGAGTCGATGCTCAGGGTGCACTCCATGCCCTCGCCCTCCCTTCTCCCCTAAGACACTTGCAGTTTGCTGTAGTGACTCTAATCTTCCTAGAGGAATGCCAAATCCTCCTAACTTCCGGGTCATTGTGGCAGGGATCAGCAGCTGCAGCCAGAGCTGTTGACAACGGGCAGGGGGAGGGGAACGTGTATGTGGCACCAGGCGGTGCCTATCCCGGAGGTCCCGGGGCTGCCTGGGGGCTGCGTGACCATGCAGGTTATCAGCGCCGCCGAGGGCCCTACGAAACCGCTTCAGGTCCGTCTTCCTGAGCTACCAGCACGGCCGGTTCAAGACCAAGACCCTGACCAGGGCCTCTGGGGCCATGTGTGGTCTGGCCCAGGCCTACCTTGACAACTTGTTTCTCTCTCTTTTGAAAAATACCTTTATTTTGGGAAATTCCCTGGCAGTCCAGTGGTTAGGACTCAGAGCTTTCACTGCCAGGGGCCGGGTTCGATCCCTGGTTGGAGAATTAAAAAAAATATATATATATATATAAATTTTATATATATATATATTTTTTAAGTAAGGCTGAGGTATAATTTACAGTGAAATTCACCCTTCTTGGTATGCAGTTCTCTGTACTTTGACAAACGTGTACAGTTGTGTAACCAACCCTGCAATCCAGAGAGAATATTCCCACCACCCCAAAGTTCCCTCTTGCACCCCAGCCCCTGGCAGCCTGCCACCGGTCTGTTTCTGTCGGTGCAGTGTGCCAGCCTCTCCTTCTTGTCGCTCCCCTCACTGCGGGCTTTGCATTTACTGATTCCACTCCGTCCCCTGCGGACCTTGGTCCCTGATCTCACAGTGTACTGTCCCCCTGCTCCGAATCCACCCTCCCCCAGGACTTGGGGTTTAACTTCAGCTCTCACCTCACGTGTCATTTTTCAGGAAATGTCCCCCCCCCCCCCAAGACTCTGTGCCGATTCACACACCGACACCGGGCTCTTGAAAGCACTTTGTCGGGGGAGGGGGGGGCTGGGCGGGGCTGGGGTTGTAGTTAATCACTGAGTGGGATAAAGGCTGCTTCCCCTCACCTATTAAACTTCCCATGCCGGCAGGAACGTGTGTTTTTCTCATCACTGTATTCCCTAGAACAGAGAACGTGCTCAATCAAAATTTGTTGAATTAATGAAAGGAAACCCCAGTGACAGGAACAGTGCTCTCCAGCTTCTGTGCCTCAGCTTTGGGCCTGCGCAGATGGACGGCTGCAGTCAGGCTCAGGGAACCTTGACCCGGACCGCGACCTCCCGGAGGAGAGAGAGGTCTCGACCACAGCACAGGACTCCATCTCTCAGCCCTGGATCTCTGATAGGGGAAGGGGCGTGTGTGGTCTCTCCCCCTCTAGCAGCCACGCGTGTTTGGTGGAGTTTCACCCGCATCCACCCCGTTCCCCAAGCCAGAAACCTAGAAGCCTCTCCCGGGTCTCTGTTCTCACCCGTGTCTCTACCCCCCTCGCTACCACCTCTCAGACTGTCTGTAACTCAAGCCTGATCCCTTCAGGACCCCTTAACTGCCCCACACCCACCTCACCGACCTCAGGCGGCCCTTTACCCTGCCCTGGACCTTGTCCCAAGCCTTCCCCCTCCTTCCCGCCCCGCGAAGCTCTGTCGGATCCGGGGCTGCCCCCACCGCATCCCCCGCATCCTGACGCGCCGACCCTGCTCTGCTTTTCTCCAGAACATCGCTAACCTAGCACGCTGTCCGTCTTCACGTGGGTACTGCTACCACCTCCCGCTAAACTGCGATCCCTTCCCAGCCAGAGCTTCCATCCGCTTTTGTTCACGGACAGAACAGTGCCTGGCACGTAGTAGGCGCTCAGTAAACTTGTGTTCTCGACGGTTCTGGCGTCTCCCTGGGATGTCCGGCCCTTCCCGGCGCTCCCGGTGCTCCCTCCCCTCCCCTCTCCTCCCTCCCCTCCCCTCCGGACAATTCCAGGGTCTCTCCCCAGGGGGCCCGCCCCGTCGGCTGGTAAGAATCGGCTGCTTCTCTTAATCCCCGCCCGGGGCTTTCCAGGCGGCACCCGTTAGTTGTTTGGGCAGATGCGCTGGGCGCTTCCGGGGCAGGACCGTGTCTTTGAACCCACGTGGCTTACAGAGTGAATGCTCAATCACGGTTGAGAGTGAGTACGGAATTAGTGACCCAGGACTGGGTCCCTTCCTTCCCCAGTCTGTCAGTTCGCTACCCTCTAAGAGCGCTAGGAACGGCCGGCCTCGCCTCTCACGCCATGACTGCCCGCGGCACTCATAGACCCTCTACATGCTGGCTTTGATTATAAGTGACCAGAAGCCCGGGGACCTAGAGAGTGCTGTTCAGAGACAGGTTCAGAAGCCTTCTGGGGGCTGTTTCCACTTCTCCTTCCACCTCTTTCGCCCGTGGGGCCAGGACAGATTCCAGGCCAAAAACACGCTTCAGGCTTTTCGGTGTGACCCCTTGCAGCCGGAGGGTGAGCACAGGGCGAGGAGCGCCCCCCCCGGAGGGGGCGGGGAGGGCGCGCGCGCTCAGCGGGCGGGGCCTAGTCCAGGGCAAGGCGGGGTCGGGGTGGGCCCGAGGCGGGGCCCGGGGCGGGGCCGGGCCTGGGGCGGGGCGGGGCGGGCGGGCGCGCGTCCCGGGCCGGGCGGTGGGCTGCGGTCGGCGGTCGCAGCGGGCGGGCGCACTCCGGCAGAGCCATGCTGGCGGCGCGCGTGGAGTATATCGCGCCCTGGTGGGTGGTGTGGCTGCACAGCGTCCCGCACGTCGGCTTGCGCCTGCAGCCGGTGGACAGCACCTTCAGGCCCCGCGATGAGAGTTACCAGGAGGTGAGTCCGCGCCGCCCCCCGACCCGGCGCCCCAAGTCCCCGCGCCACCCCTTCCGCCCTCCCAGCCCGCCGCTCTCCACAGGCGTCCAGACCCCGTCCCCCACTCTCCCCGCAGCCTCTTCGCCCCTTCTCCCCTTTCCCCGCAAGTCCTTGGCCTACGGCCCTCCGGTCTGGGAACCTCATGGGCCGGGACAACTGGAAAGATGGGAGTTAAGCCGGCCGAGGGACACGGGGGGGAAGGGCGCAGAGGCTGCCTGTGGCGGGGCGGGGAGGCTGAGCGCCGAGGGGGAGGGCAGCGCCGCGCGGCGTAGGGGCATTTGTGCCCGTACCCGGTGATTCCGCCGCACCAGCTGCGGAGATGCTGAGGAGGGCCCCGCCGTTTTCCTCCTTCTGCGGTTACAAGACGCGCTCTCTCTGGGAGAAGTTTGGGCAGAAACTCCCGGTCTCCCGGTTCGTCTCCGCAGCAACTCTCCTCCCCAGCCCCTGCTTGCAGCGTGGAAGCCGCTGCCAGCACCTCTACTTGGGCCCCTCCTGGAAGGCGACAGAGCTGGGGGAGAGGGGTGTGGACCCTCAGCTACGTGTGGATATTTGGGGGAAGGAAGGTGGCCCCCATCAGCCCCATCTCACACCAGCGCACCCTCCTTCTCTGTACAGACACACCTTCTAGGCCCTGGATTTCTGGGATCTTAGCGGCTTGGCTAGCCACTCGCCTCATCCCTGCAATTCTCTCCTTGCCCTGCTCTGCTGGCCTCCGCGGTTTCTGCACCCCTGGGGAGAAGGGGTGCTCCCCAGGCTTCCCCGCCCAGACAATTGCAGAATCTCCCAGCCTTCTCAGGTGTGGCCCAGCCCTCTCTAGCCCCTGTAGCCAGGCTGAGTAGTTTTCTGTTGGGTCAAAGATTCCGGGACTGGGAAGTCCAAGATGGGGCCCATTTGTTCAGGACTTTGACCCCCGGCAGCCTCTGCCTGCGTGTCAGGCTCTCTGCAGTCTCCTGGTGTGAGGCCAGTCAGGGCAGAGTGGGTCCTCCAGGGAGGCTGAGCAGGGGTCGACTGTTCACCTCTCCCCTGCCAGGACTCTCTCCTGCAGGGCGCCGGGGATCCTGGTCCAGTAGGGTGTGCAGGGTGCCAGTGACAGGGAGTCTAATAATAACCCCTAGTGTCCCCGTCACCCTCGGGCCCCAGGCAGATGGTGCCTGCCCTTCCAGAAGGAGGAGAGAATCAGGACCCCTTCCTGCTCTTAGGCAGGGATCCGTCGCCGGGTTTGGCTTGCCGAGTTCGCTTCCTTCCCTGTCTGTCTGGCCTCCCTCTCCCTAAGCCCTGCCTGGGGAAGGCAGTTCCCTGAGAATGTAGCCACCTGGGGAGAGCTCCAGGGAATCTTCCGCTCCCAATGAATGCATGAAAAGAGGCGGATATGATTTCAGAGACAGCTGTGTTGCTTGCGTACTGTGTGTGTGTGTGTGTGTGTGTGTGTGTGTGTGTCTGACCCCACGTCCTTGTGTCCCAAACCCTGCGCCCCAGATCCTGCCCCTGGGGCCTCCAACCACAGCTTTCTCCTCTCCCTGGAGGAAAAGTAAACTCTTGGCCTGGGTGGAGAAGACCTTGGTGTGTGGGGAGGGGCGGTAGGGCACTCCCCCCCCGCCAGAGACAGCTCCCGTCTGGCCAGCAGCTGTGGTTGGCAGGGCCTGAGCCTGGGCCACCCCCCTCGGTCCCCTGGAGAGATGGCAGATGAGCCAGAGGGACCCACTCACAGCCCCTGCCCCTCTCCTCCCCGGGGTTTCAGACCCTGACACACTGTGCTGGCATCCCCAGGGCCGCCGCTCCCTGCTGCCAAACACCCGGCCCCACCCCTACCCTCCATGTACTGCTTAGGCCGCCTGAGGGCTCTGAGTGGGAGATGAGTCTGGTGAGCCTGGATGGGAAGTCTGGCTCTGGGTGTTTATTTAAGGCGGCTCCTGTTTTGGTAAGTTCCCCTGTTGTCTGACCGTGGGTCTCTCCTGGACGTCCCCACCTTCGTCCCCTTCCTCCTGAGCGGCGGTCACCGCCCAAGTCAGGGCACCACGTCAGTTAACACCCTGGATTGGGCACCTTCTGCTGTCAGTCATCTCAGTACTCAAACTGTGACCATGGCAGGTGTCTGTACCTCCCTGAGCCTCACTTTCCTCCTCTGCAAGTATTAAATGAGATGTCCCTTGAAACATGTTTAGTACGTAGAGGGTCCCATAGCACGTGATAGGACCCAGTGACGCAAATCATTACGCAGACTGGCCTTGAGGTTCAGAAACGTGTCCAAGTACCATAACCCATGGAGAACAGACGGAAGATCTGTGTCTACACTCACTGATCAGGAAGGACTGAAAGACTCATGCAGAGGGGGCTTCAGCTCATGCCCCAAACGTCCAAGTGAACAGTACCGTCCTGTGGTACTGTGTGTGTGTGTGTGTGTGTGTGTGTGTGTACACAAAGATTAAATGGAACTGGAAACAGGCAGTGCGTCCTGGAAAGCTCCGTGGCGGGGACGAGCCGTGCGGGGGATCTGGAAGGCAAGGAGATCTAGGAGTGAAAAGCAGGTCGCCTGGTGACTGGGACATCCTGAGCAAAGTCAGTTCCCAGAACTTCCTTGAGGAAGCAGAGCTCCCAGTCACTTTCAGGGGTCTTGGGGAGCCATGGAAGCCCCCTGATGGCTGTCCTTCCATCCCTCCCTGCCAGTGGACTTGACCCTGAGTCCTCGCTCAGGCTACCTGGGCTCCATCCACCAGGCTCTTGGGGAGGTCGTGCCCAGTCTGTCTGCAGGGGCAGGTGAGGCGAGCCCCAGGTGGAGGAGGACGCCCCGGCCCCGCTGGGCCCCCAGCCCCATCCGAGGAAGCAGCCCAGACCTCTCAGCCTGAGTCTGCTGACCTCTGCCCGGAGAGAAGGAGTGGAGATGGAGCAGATCCCTGCTTCGAAGGGCTACTGAAGGGACCCGATCAGTTAGTGGGTGTAAAGCATGTGGCCAGCGCCCGGCGCTCCCTAAGTTGCCACAAGCCCTGCTTGGCAAGGAGGAAGCCCCAGCTGGCCAGGTGCCCATTGGACAGAGTTGGGGACAACAGAAAGGGCCCCTGGCACTGCCCCCGGCAGTGACTCCCAGAACAAGCCACTTCAGTTTCCTCCTTCAGTTGCCACCGTCAGCATGCGGCCGCCTCCCCGGAGAGGTGGGAGACCAGACACCGAGGAGGTGCTGTCCCCGAGAGGCCCGGCGGCTCCCGAGTGCCGCGCCAAGCTTCACTGCTGCTCCTGCCTGCGCATGTGCAGGAGCCCCCTGTGTGCGCCCTGCGCCGTCGGTCCTTGCCCCGCGTCCAGAGCCCAGCCGCGTCCAGGGCCCAGCCGCGTCCGTAGCCCAGCCGTTCTCTTGGGACGCGCGTGAGGAAGTAGAGGAGACACTCTTAATATTTTACACGGAGGCACGGATTTCCGTGTGTTGACGTTAGGTGGTTCCGCTCCTAGACTCCCCAGAGAGTCCCAAGTGTGTGTCCTTAGGCCGGGGGAGGGGCTAGACCCAGAACTACAGGGCTCCCCCAACTCGGGGGGCAGTCCTCAGGAGGAAAGGCCAGGCGGGGAGGCCCGCCGGCAGGATTTGAGGGGAGCCGAGCTTGGGAAGAGGAAGCCCCCTTCACTCAGTCTGAGCCCTGAGTCACGGTCAGCTGGACAGTCACGCTGCGCCCTGCCCCCTGCCCCCGGGGGGGAGGGGCTGCACCCTATCGAGTCACTGCCTCTCCCTCCGGCTCCTCTCGCCCTGGTCTCGCCCCTCGGCTGGCTCACTCTCTGTCTCCTGGGGTCTCGGGGCGAGGGGCGCTCAGGCTGTTGCCCACTCCCCCGCCCCAGTGCAGGAGCCCCTCGCGGTGCAGCCGCAGCCTCGGCGTTCCCAGAATGCCAGTCGGTCAGTGCTGCCCCCAGCTTGGATCCTGGGTTCGTGCTCTGGTTTCTCATCGCAAAGTGACAAACCAGAACTAATGGAAGTCACTGCCACGAGGGAGAGGCCCGAGCCCTGACGCGGGGGCGGGGAGGCGCGGCCGCAGGAGCTGCCCTGGAGCGCTCCCTTCTCGGCGCTGTCAGAGCAGGAGGCCAGAGCAGGAGGCCGTGTGAGCAGAGCTCCTGGCTTCCTCTGGACGGGAGGTCCTCCCTGTAACGCCCTCCCCGCACCCAGACACACGGGGACCCGCAGTGTTAATTAGCAGCTGGAAAATAATAGCCCGTTGGCCGCTGGCCGGTGACACCAAGGTGGCCGGTGACACCCAGGTGGCCGTGGGAGGTGGCTCTTCAGGCTCCTCTTCCCTCCCCCCTCCAACTCCTCCTTCCCTAACCCTAACCTCTGCCCCTGCCCTCGTGCTCCCAGCGCCCGAGGAAAGTTCTGGAGGGGAACTGCTAACAAAAGGGCCTCCGCATTTGGGTTTCCCAGACAGGGCCTCCCCGGGGATGGGCTGCACCAAGGGTAATCGAATGAGACCAGATGCCCAGCTTGGGGAGCCCCACCCCTGCCCCCCGGCCTTGGAATCCCAGGGCCCTGCGCACGAGACGAGGCTTGCAGGAGGTCAGGAGGCCGGAGTGGGCTGTGAGGCGTGAAACAGGGGAGCCAGGGCAGGGGCTCAGGGGTGGGGACGGGCTGTGGTTTGGAGAGATTGAAACAGCACCAACCCAAGTCGAGATTACTCCTTGGAGGTCCTTCCTTGGTGGATGGGGACCCATGATAGAGTCAGTGGGTTTTCCTGTTTGGGGGGAGATTGAGGGTGAGGCTGTCCAGGGTAGCTGGGAGGAAATATGGCTGTTAACCAGTCTCTAATCTATACAAAAGGTTTATCCAGGTTTTTGTTACTTTCTTTTTAATTAGGATTAACTTACAGGGAAGTGCACATCCCTAAGTGTACACCTCAATACGTGTGTGTGTGTGTGTGTGTGTGTGTGTGTGTGTGTGTGTGAGACACCATCCCAGTCAAAGTGTATTCCTGACCCCCCAGGAGGCTCCGTCCCACTTGATTCCCTCCCAAAGGTAGTTCCTATTCGGACCTCTGTCACTACAGATGAGTTTCTCTGACTTTGCATCTTACGTCAGTTAAACCACACAGTCTCTGCTGTGTCATCTGGCTTGTTTCCTCCACCGTGACATCTGTGAGATTCTCCCACATCACTGGCTGTCGCCGCAGTTGACTTTTCATAACTGCGTCATATTCCATCGTGTGGCTCCAGTCCCTGTTATCTATCCGATCTCTTGTTGGTTCGCTTGTTTCTGGTGTTTGGCTATTACCGCAGTGTTAGGCTGCTGTGAACATTCTTGCATGTATCTTCTGGGGGACATGAGCCCTCCTTTCTGCCAGGTGAATATGCAGGAGTAGGGTTGCTGGCTCTTGGGGTATATGCACCCTGCACAGTGGTTTGCAACTTGTGACGGGGGTCCTGGGCTTTAGCAGAGGGGCCTCAGGCCTGCGAGGGGGTGGCCAGGGCAAAGCTTGGCATTTACGTCCACCCCTCAGTCAGAGGCTCTCTGAACATCAGCGCTCTGCTAAGCGAGTCTGAAGAAAAGGTTAAGCTACTATAAACAGTTTGAGAAAGTCTGTTGACACTAATCAGGGTTTCCCCAACTTCAATCACATACAGATCTCTTGGGATATCTCTTGGTGCAGTTCTGATTCACTGGGTCCAGGGTGGGCCTTGAGAAGGTGTGTTCTGCATTTCAGAAGATGTCAATGCCCCAGGGTTGGTGAACTTCGCTTTGAATAGCAAGGCTCTAACCCCCCATCCTAGCCTTCTTCCCCTTGGCCTGGGGCTACAGGGCCTCCAGTGAGGGGCATGGGCTGGGGGCCAGCTAGTGGCAGCTTCTTCCACCGTCTCACCAGGCCAGCCTCCTGGCACAGTCCATGGGACAGGCCCAGTGGCCCTGGCCCGGGACCCCCCAGCGCCTGCCACCCAGGAGGACTTCCGCAGGGGGGTGTGGTCAGGTCCACTGGGCCTTCCCAGCTACCTGGAGGAGGAGGGCTTACCACCCATGCTGCTGAGTCGGGGGTCGGGGAGCAAGTTCCTGGCAGTACCTAAGATATATTTATCCCAGGTGGAGGCGAAAGCCACACTTCGTCACATCCACCCTGAGCCATCTCTCCTGTCCTCTTCTGGGCTGTCCCCACTGCTTTGGCCATTTGTCCGTGAGGCTCAGAAACCCGTCGGTCCAGGTGGCCAGCTGAGCAGGTCAGACCAGGGGTCTGCAGGCCGGCCCAAGCCCTCACGGGCCCGAGCGGCTGCGTGGGCTCAGCAGACACCCTCTCCCCTGTGAGGCTCTGCCCACCCCCGTCCAAGACGACCCCGGGCCTCGGGACTGCAGACCCCAGCCCCTGTGTTCAGGGTTGTCTCCTGGTGTGCGCATGCTCCTGCCTGAGTCTTGTCTCCCCCTTAGCCCAGAAGGGCCCCAGTGTCCCCCCGACTCTGCTCATCACCCTGCCCCGACAGCCCAGACTGGAGCGCTGGGGGTTCTGGGCTGGGAACGACCCGGGGCACGTGGGCAGCAGGGCGAGGCTGTCAGCTCGGGAGCCTGACTTAGAGCCAGGTCCAGCCCTGGCTGGCGGCCACCAGTCCTGCTGCCATCTGGCGTCCATCTGGCTGAATCGAGATTGGAAGGCAAGGAGTGGGGGGGCTGTGGGCCTCCTGACGGGTAGCGGCTCCTTCTGTGGGACCCTGATTGCTCGGCGGGCCTGAGACGGCATTTCCTCCCCCCTTCAGAATTCTGGGCTTTGCTGCCACAATTGGCATCTAGGGGTCGCCGTCCCTTTCAAGATGTGATGAGAGGGACGCCCCAGGTGCATCTCCTGACGTCTCCCCCCCTCCCCCAGCGCAGAGTTGGCCTCTGGTTGAGGATGTACCCCAATACCTGGAACAAGGCTCCGTGGGGCACATCCGCCAGGGCATCCCTTCCCTGCCCTGCGACAGGCCCCACTCAGCTTCTGAGACACCCCGCCCAGCCCCGTGTCCTCCAGGAGGCCTTGGATGCTCTGATCCCACGGACATCCATCTTGTCTCCCTCAGTCACACGGAGCACTGCCCACAGACCTCACTGTCTGGGGATGATTCCTGCCTTGTGTCTTGAGCAGCTCAGAGTATCCATCAGACAATGCCTGGTCCGCACCTGCATCCAGGTGTGTAAGCCCCGGACCTGGGGGCCAGGCTTGAGCCGTTCCTCCTTCCACCACTCATCTCGTATCCTCCCCCACCCACACCTGAGCTCTTCTGCCCCCCACTCCTCACCCAGCCCGAGGGCAGGGCGCTTCCCGACACCCCTGCCACCCATGGGACCAAGTGCTGACCCCAGGCCTCTCCCTCCTCAGTCGCTGCTGTTCCTGGGGCTGGTGGCCGCCGTCGGGCTGGGCCTGAACCTCGTCTTCCTCGCGGCTTACCTGGTGTGTGTGTGCTGCTCCCTGCAGAGCAGTGCGGTGCAGACCAAGCATCGCCACCCCTGCTGCATCACCTGGATGGCCGTGGCGGCTGGGCTCGTCTGCTGGTGAGTGTCCCTCTGCGCCGGGCCCGGCGTGCGCGCTCGGGCGGGGGCTGGCGGGGGTCTCCGTGTGAGGCTGCAAGGCGGACACAGTGGAAGAAAAGTGGGCCTGACCATCTGGGTCTTGCCTCGCCCTCCACTTCCCGCACCACCCCACCACCGGCAAACCCCAAGTGGCTCCTCAGCTGTCTGGCGATGTTCTCCTGCCTGAGCTCCGGGTACCTGGATGGGAGGGCCTGTCTCCAGGGTGAAAGCTGTGCCTTTTCTCGCCCAACAGTGGGAATCGGATGCCCTGGGTGGCGAGGGGAGGCTCCCGTGCATCCCGGGCCCCTGCCCCGGGGGGGGGCCTCTCCAGCCTGGCAGCGAGCTCCCTGAGCAGTTGACCGGCGACATCGCTGCTCTCTGTGTCCTGTCCCCTCCCAGCGGCCGCCCGGGGTCTGCGATCAAAGTCTGACTCCAGTCCAGATCAATGCCATCTTCTCACAAGATCAATAGCTCTTAGCACCATCAGCTGGGTCTTCTTCGCTTCGGATGGTGAAGTGAGGCTTTCTAACTGTGTGTCAGAGCCACGCTGCCCAGGCAGTGTGCACACACACGCGGGCCTTGTGTTCACCAGTTGTATTTTTCTTGTCTTTGTATCTACAGAGGTTTTTCCAAAAGCCTCAGCTCCTCCTGAAACGCTCCGGGGGGTGGTCCTGCCCAAGGGGTGGAATGCCTCATGGCTAATTGTCCATTGTATCCAAGAACCCACAGCACTGTCTTGGCCCCGGGACAAGAGGCAGATGGGGCTCATCCCTAGCGGCTCACCTCATCCCCCGGGCTTTCCTCTCCATTAGATCACGTTCAAGGTCCCGTCCTGCCTGCAGTGTCAGGGCATCTAAGCCAAAAGATAGGCAAGGACTCAAAGCAGCTTTGCAGGGGTGACAAAGCAGCAAACACGTGGAAGGGAACCAGGGCTGGGTGAGACACGCGGCCGGGGCTTAAATCATAAACTTAAAGGAGAGAGGTTGAGCCATGGTCGCAAGTTCAAAGACAAACATGACTCCCAGCAGAAAGGAGCCACCTGCAAAGTACCTGGTATTAAACAGCCTCCTCCTGAGAGCAAGGTGTGCAGGGCGGACAGGGAGAGACAGGATGGAGACGGCCAAAGAGACCAGCAGTGCTTGCTACGCGGGCAGCCCTCTCTCCTATGAACTCAGATTTTTCTGCAAAAAATACTGCAAGTGACAGAAGAATACTTTGGAACAGTAAGAATGACTTGGGAGGGTCAATTCCAATAAGTAATCATTACCTGCCTCTTAAGGAAAACTCAAAATGGGAGTGTATGTGGCACAGCTCCTCCTTCAGAATTCTCCAGGTCGCCTGGGCCGGGCACGAGGGAGCCGGCGATCAGAAAAACAGCCACCAGTTCTGCCTTCTTGTAGCTCTTGCTCTGTTGGGAGAGACAGAGGATCATGTGCTTGTTTGATCTGAGTACTTACGAATTAAAGGGTAATTTTGGAGACAAGGCATAGGCGTGAAGTTGGATGGCCCACTCGAGTTGGGTGTGAACTGGGTGACAAGGGCACCAAGACCAACAGGATGAGAAGGCGTGAACTAGGCAAAGGTGGGGGCAAGCTGGGAGGAGATACTTCCATGCAGAGGGAATCGGAGTGTGTGCAAAGGCCCTGTGGTGGGGGGGGGGGGGGGCAAAGCTTTTTTTTTTAAATTTATGTTATCGAAGTATAGTTGATTTTCAATGTTGTATTAATTTCTGCCGTACAACAAAGTGATTCAGTTATTCTTTTTCCTATTCTTTTCCATTATGGTTTATCCCAGGACATTGAATAGAGTTCCCTGTGCTACACAGTTGGACCTTGTTGTTTACCCATTCTGTATATAATACTTTGCATCTGCTAACCCCAAGCCCCCAGTCCATCCCTCCCCCACCCCGCCTCCCCCTTGGCAACCACAAGTCTGTTCTTTGTGAGTCTATTTCTGTTTCGTAGATAAGTTCATTTGTGTCATATTTTAGATTACTCCACATATTAGCGATATCGTATGGCATTTGTCTTTCTCTGTCTGACTTATCTTCACTTAGTATGATCATCTCTAGGTCCATCCATGTTGCTGCAGGTGGCATTATTTCTTTCTTTTTTATGGCTGAGTAATATTCCATTGTGTACATGGACCACATCTTCTTTATCCATTCGTCTGTCGATGGACATTTAGGTTGTTTCCATGTCTTGACTATTGTGACTAGTGCAGCTATGAGCATAGGGGTGCGTGTATCTTTTTGAATTATAGTTTCGTCGGGGTATATGCCCAGGAGTGGGATGCACAAAACTTTTAAGGCACTGAGAGAAGCCAGTGTGGCTGGAGCAGAGGGGCGGGCGAGGGGGCTGGGGTAGGGGTGCAGCAGGGTGGGGGATAGGCAGTAAGTGCGGTGGAGGCCCACAGTTACCTTCACTGGAGTCGTGCTCAGATTGGAGCCCAGCTGGAGTGAGTTGAGGGAGAGAAGCGGGGAGGGGGGGCCAACAAAAGCAGAAGGAGAAGGGATATGAGGTGAGGCTGGGGGGATTAGGAGGCGGGGGTCTTGCTGAGCTCTGACAGCAAGGATCCCGGAGAAGAGGGGAGATTCAATCCGTAGAAGAAAGAATGAACAAGGCAAAAGGGATATGAGGAGAATTCCCAGTGCACCTCTCTTTGGGAGTGATATAACATTTGATTAAGGGAGCGGTGCTGTTATACCAGAGAGGGGCAGCACCACAGACTTGTCTCAGAAGACTGGGTGCAATTACACAGCCCCTCCTGAACCATCATCTCCGATAAATCCATAGACCATGAGAAGACGCAAAAGTAGAATCCTCCGTTGTTGAAAAGAGGGAAAGGGAGAATTAAAAGGACGGGAGAGCATTGGCTTGAGGCCGAGTCCCCAGAAAACACTGGATCATGACACAGAGAACTAGCAGAGAAAGTTAGAAACACAAGGAGCAACCGAAAGGTATTTTTCAGAGCAGACTGAAATTTAAAAGATGAAGTGACTAAAGAGAAGCTCATAGAAATACAATACATTTAACGTATGAATATTTCTGCATTTGACCAAGGTCCTCCCAGTATCCCTGCGGATGCTGTGTTTACAGATTGTGTGGTGGTGCGGTTAAGTGGATTCAAAGCTGGTTGAACAATTCTGGTTGAATGCAAAGAATACTGATTTACTCCTGGCTTCACCAAACTGTAGCTGGTGCGCGCACGCGTGCGTGCGTCAGACACGTGAAGCAGATAGGAACCTTGTTTTAAAATGCGCATTCTCAGACCATACTGGTAACAAATGGGTGCGGTGTGCCCCCCGCCCCCGCCCCCCCCCACCTACGCTTTTAACAGGTGATTCTGTCCTGTGGTCCATGGACCGCTTTCTGAGAAACACTGAATTGGGGGTCAAGGGCACCCTGGAAGGAGGTTTCTAGAACAGTCTCCCAGGGGATTCCATCCCAGGTTCTGCCCTGTTTAAAGAAAAAGGGTGAAAGCGTTTGCACATGTGTCTTCATCTTTCCCCCGCAAAATCAGCCTTTTGGATGAAAACTCAAGGAGGCTGTTTAATGAATCTTGAGAGGACCCCCAGGGGTATGAGTCAGAGAAAGTATGATCAGTGACAGAGGCAAGACTTCGAATGATTTGTTCAGGCTGGAATGTTGGACTAAAACCAACTAGATGAAATTTCACAGGGATGGATTTAAAGTTCCTCTTTTATTTAAAACAAAACAAAAAGCAATACGGCACTAGAGGAAGAAGGAACGCCTGGGCTTAGCGGCAGTTCCTGGGGAGAAATCCAGGGATATTAATGGACCACAAGGTCAGTGACGGGGAGGGAGGACCCCAGGGCATTAGCCCCCTGTGCTCGGAGCTGGAGGGACCAGCTGGGCTTGGGTGCTTCACGCAGAGGCCACGTTTAAGGGTGACATGACATGATTAGAGAGAGTTGAACCAGAGGGTGATGCAGACCAGGGCCTGGAGGACACATCTGACTCGTAGAGCAGAGAAAGGGTGACGCGGAGCCCCATTCAGATGTCTGACAGGGTGCCTTGCAGAATTGGAAGCTTATTCCAGTCTGGCCCCGAGGACAGCCAGGAGCCAGCAGGTACGTGATTTAAGGTGGTAGGCTTCAGCTCAACCTAACTCAAACTAAGAAGGGACTTTCTAGAAGCCCAAACATTTCAGCAGGACAGATGCCTCGTGTGTGGTGTGGGGAAGTGGAGGTGAAAGGATAGAGAATGGAGGGGGCATCCCCAACCCTTGGAGGGTTTGGGAGAGGTGAGTGTGATTTCATGAGACCTCAGTGGTCCCCAAGCCCACGTGTGTCAGAGTCACCTGGGGAGCTGGCAAAGGTACGAGTTCCTGAGCCCCTCCCGGACCTACTGTAGCATCAAAACCCCTAGGGCCCGGCCAGCAATCTTCCACCCTTCAGAGCCCCGGGACTGGAGAACAGGAGTATTTTCTTGTTGGCTGAATGAAATGTGCTGCAGAGCTAGTTGGCCAGGCCAGAGACCGCTGCCCCAGAACCTTCCTCCCTCCCCCGGCCAGCCCATCTGCCAGAACTCTAGACCACCCCCTCTCCCCTACCCAGGAAAGAGTTCCTCAGCTAAAGTCAAAAACGCGCTCTCATGGATGCTTAAAGGCGCTTTCATCATAATTGCCAAAACCTAGAAGCAACTGAGAAGCCCTTCAGTAGGTGAATGGCTAAATTGTGTTCATCCAAACAATGGAATATTATTCAGCGCTTAAAAAAAGAAAAATGAGCTATCAAGCCATGAAAAAACATGGAGGAATCTTAAATACATATTACTAAGTGAAAGAAGCCCGTCTGAAAAGGCTACGTACTGTAGGATTCCAACCATATGACACTCTGGAAAAGGCAAAACCATGGAGACAGTAAAAAGATCAGTGGTTGGCAGGGGTTAGGAGTGAGGGAGGGATGGACGGGCAGAGCACAGAGGACTTTAAGGGCAGTGATATTACTCTGTATGAAACTATAATAGCGGATACATTTGTCCAAACCCATAAGATTGTGCTACGACACCAAGAGTGACCCTAATGTAAACTGTGGACTTTGGGTGATAATGACGTGTCCACGTAGGTTCATCAGTTGTAACAATTGTCCCATTCTGGTGAGGGTTGTTGACGGCTGGGGAGGCTGTCTGGGCGTCTGAGGCGCCACAGGGTATATGGGAAATTGCTGTACTTTCCATTCAGTTTCGTTGTGAAGTCTAAACGGCGCTAAAAAATAGTATACTAACAAAATTTCTCCTCTGGGTGTCACCTCTAACTTTGGGGTCTTGCCTCTAGTGCTGCGGTGGGCGTTGGTTTCTATGGAAACAGCGAGGCCAACGACGGGGTGTACCAGCTGATCTACTCCCTGGACAATGCCAACCACACCTTCTCTGGGATCGATGTGCTGGTAAGGTCGCGGGCAGCCGGTGAGGTCAGCGTGGTGGGAACGAGAGCCCCAGTCAGAGCCCAGCCAGCTCGGCTCCAAGGGGGCCGGACTCCCCTTGGGGCTGCCAGTTGGTCCCGCCGGAGCCAACCGGCGATTTCTGCTCCCCAGGCTGGGGGGCGGGGGGCACAGGGGGCAGGGGTAGGAGTGAGGACCAAAGGAGAAAGGCTGTGGGGTCCTGGGGGCCAGGACGGCTGTGGGATCAGAGCCCGTCCATCTTCAGCAGAGCTGAGCACTGTGCCATTTGTTCGAGAGGCCCCTGAATGTGGACAGTCGGCCCCGCGGTGTTTTCTGTGTTCACTTTCAGTGCTGGGTGTAGAGTATGGTGGGTGGCGTCCAGGAGATGTCAACACTTTTCAAAAACAAGTGAAGAGCCCCAAACCCCGCAAGGTGTCCTCCGGACTCTGGTTTCCAGGCGCCGTGACTCCAGCTGGGGGCTAAGGGTGAAGGATGTGCTGGGCTGGCCAGAAGAGAGGAAGGAGTTTTCGCCCAAGGAAGAGGTCCACTTGCTGAGCCTCGAGGGCGGGGAGAGTCAGGGTCTTCAAAAAAAGGTAGCCCATGGCCCCCAGTGCTTGTCACTTTCTCTCTGGAAGCACTGGCTCTTTGCAGCTGATTTCCCAGCAGCCCCTGGCGCCCTCGGAGCCAGGCTCCGGGGCAGTTTTCAGAAATGCCAGTCCTGTCCGCCATCACCTCTGGGCCAGTTCCCCAGTAGAGGGGTGACCTCAGCAAATGAGCAGTTGTGTCAGGCGGCCTCAGCCGTGCAAGCCAGCCCCGACCGGAGCCTGTGGACCTCACTTCCTCCTGCTGCGGCTTCAGGAGGATTCGACCTCAGTGGCCCTCCTCTCCCTTAAGCTCCTCTCAGGCCTTAATCCCCCAGCCCGGCTCCTCCCAGGAGGGACTCCCTTAAAGAGACAGCTGTGCTGCTCCTCGGGGGTACGGCTGGGTGCTGGGTGCCGTGGCTCTGGCCGCAGAGAGGGTCCTTCTGGGGAGCCGAGGGTCACACACCAGAGCAGGGGCCCAGCTCTCCTGCTGAGCTCATCCAACCACCCCCTGTGTCCACTGGGACCCATCCCTGGGGACTGAGAACTGCCTGGACACTGGGCTGGAGCAGCTCTAATGGGGTGAGGATGGGGCGGCTGGGATGGGGGAGCTGAGGGGCCGAACGCCGCCTGACCAGCACCGGGTGGGGCCTGGGGGGAGCTCACTCCCTGGGGACCCCCGCCTTCCCCTCTGCCCTGGTGGGGAAGGGGCTCCACCCACCAGCACAGAACCACTGGAGGAAGAGCCAGCCCCTGAAGGAGAATCCCTTCCCCGGGAAGCCCCAGAGCCATGACCTTCACTGGCTGACTTGTGACCATTGTAAGGAATGACCCGTGGCTCCCCAGGGCTGAGGAAGAAAGTCCCAGAGCCGCCCTGATGGGAAGATTCAAGCTTTTCATGTCCTTATCTGCCGTAGATGAGCTGGGCCCGAGACCCCCAGGTTGGGCCCATCCACCCCAGCTGAGCGCTCCCCAGGGTCAGGGGTGGACATGTGCATCAGGGGTGCATGTGCATCAGACCCCAGGCCTCTAAATGCCCCCGTGTTCCTGAAGGGAAGGGTTCTGTGTGTCTCTGGCGGTCAGCCCCTCATCCTCTCTCCACCATTTCTGAAAAGTGAAGGCAGGCGTCCCAGGCTCTGGTGATGGTCCAGCCGGCCAGGAGCTGCTTGGGTCCTGATGGCCACCTCCTGTGTTGACCTGCGTCCTTGGCTGGGCCTATGGGGCTGGTTTGGGCCTCGGGTGGGCACCCAACACTCCCAGTCCCAAGGGCTCCAGGGGAGGCAGCAGATCTTAGAGGGCTCCCCAGATTGGAGGGGGGTGAAGGCCAAGTATCACATAAATGATGTTAGATGAGATAATGCCCATGAAAGTGCCTGGTAATCTACAAAAAACGCTCCACATGTGGAGGGGGGACCCTATGCTAATGGTGCCGTTATTATAATTACTGTAATTGTGTGTGTTACCGTAATCACCACGAAAGAGAGAGGAGGCTTGGATTGGGGGGCGGCGGCACTCAGGAGACAAGTCAGGCGACTAAGACCTGGGCCAGAGCGAGGTGGGCCCTCCCAGGCTCCGCTTCCCAGACCAGAAGCCCCAGGCCTGCGCCCTTCCTCCCTGAGGGAGCCCTGGGCCTCGGTGGGCGGCGGGAGGGTCCTGGATCAGCTGCACACTCTGATTTGGGGGGTCACAAAGGGTCCTTTGGGAGGGCCAGGTGGGTCCTTTCTCTGGATCCAGCGCCCCCGGTCTGGGCCCCAGTGACTCACTCAGGGCACCTTGCACACCTCTAGCCCACTGGGGTCTCGGCTTAAAACCAGGGCCTTGGGCTCTACAGCCCCTGGGAGCTCAGCTGGCTCAAGTTTGAGCCACATGTTCTGGTGGCCACTGAGGCTCCTCTGGGTTCCCCTTTGCATTGGCATCAGGCCTGTGGGCAGCCCTGGGGAAGGAACTGGGCACAGAGAGGTCGTGTTGCTGCTGCAGGGTAGGGAGCTAGTATGTGTTAGAGCGAGTACTGGAACCCAGGGGTCTGGTCTTAGCCTTTCCCTTCAAGGCTCTGAGATGGGGGCCCTGCCCCCGGCCTGCCAAGCCTCCACCCTTCATCTCCTGGTACTTCATCCCCTGCCTGTCTAGAAAACCTCATCAACTCCCTCTCTAGGAGGGAGCTTCCTCCGTCTCAGAGATTTTCAAACTTGAGCTTGCAACAGAATCCCCTGGAGGGCTTGATAAACACAGATGGCGGGGGCCCACCCCAGACTTTCCAATTCTGTAGGTCTGGGACCAGGCTGAGAATTTGCATTTATAACGAGTTCCCAGCTGATAACAGGTCCAGGGGCCACAGCTGGAGAACCACAGCTCCATCCTCTGGGGCAGCAGCTTCCTCTACCACCTGCTAGCTCGCCCCTAACCCCACCCCAGCCTGGGGAGCTGAGCCGGCCCTCCCGATTCCCCGTGGGAGTGCCTGGTCCACCTCTGAGTGTGCCCATCGCCATCTCCCTGTGGGGAGCTCTGTGCTGAACCTCCAAGGACTGGAGGTGCAGTGGGGAAGCCGGGGGTGTAAGTAGGTCAACACTGTGATTTTAATTTTTTCTATTTTGTTTCGTTTCCTATGGGAAGACATCAGGAGGAAAGAGAGGGCCTGGCTTTCGGGGGTTTTTTCCAAGGAGGAATTTAAGAAATAGAGAAGTTAAACATATAGAGCTATGGAAGGGGGAAAAAAGTCGTCTTACAGGAAAAGTTTACAGAGCACTTTTTTTTTGGCTGTGTTGGGTCTTCGTTTCTGTGCGTGCTTCCTCTAGTTATGGCGAGCGGGGGCCACTCTTCATAGCGGTGCGCTGGCCTCTCACTATCGCAGCCTGTCTCGTTGCGGAGCACAGGCTCCAGACACGCAGGCTCAGTAGTTGTGGCTTACGGGCCCAGTTGCTCCGCGGCATGTGGGATCTTCCCGGACCGGGGCACGAACCCGCGTCCCCTGCATGGGCAGACAGACTCCCAACCACTGCGCCACCAGGGAAGCCCCCTACAGAGCATTTTTAACGGCCCTGTGATCTAAAGTGTGCTGGGTATCATATAGGAATATGAAAATATCACACAGTACAGGTCTTGCTCCCAGTGTTAACATTTATTGAGTGCCTTTGGATCAATGGCTGCAAAGCACTTGTCCGTTGATCTTATTGAATTGAAAAGGAATGTTTATTAGGGTGAGGTTTAGTTATTGAATTCATTTGTACATGCCCAGCATCTCTGCACTTTGGTATCTCTCAGTCCTTAGCCAGCTTGTAAGAACCAGCAACAAGCCGGGAAAAGGAACAAGCCGCTGACACTGAAAAACATAAAATGCAACAAAGGGGGCCATTCTCTTTTCTGGAACCAGGAACTCCTAGCCTAGCGCAGATGTGAAAGGCCACAAAGTTGCTGTCAAGTCCCCCCTGATGCGGAGAAACAGCGTTTGCTGCCAGGAGTGGGGTCTGATCACCTCTCTGCAGAGCTCTCCCCATTGGACACTCCTAAACCTTCTTCTGGGTCTTTTTTTTTTTTTTTTGGCAGTACCACAAGGCTTGTGGAATCTTAGTTCCCCAACCAGGGATTGAACCCACGGCCCTCGGCAGTGAAAGCGCAGAGTCCTAACCACTGGACCGCCAGGGAACTCCCATTCTGGGTCATTTTTCTCTTCCTTCCAGACCAGGGGGAGCTGAAGTCTGCCTGGAGGAATAGCGCACACTCCCCGCTTCCAACCAGTTGTGCTTGTTGGTATAGCATGACAGTTTCAGAGCAACGAAGCCCTTCTTCCCCTCGTGCTGACACCCAGGCTCAGAACGGGCTTGGCAGGGAGGTGCTTGGGGTTCCCAGACTGGGTCTCCAGCCCCTGCTGGGACCCTGCATCTGGGCTATCGAGAGGCACCTTTCTAATTCTTGTGGTCCTTGTTTGCAGGCCCAGGAGAGTCACCTCCATTGCCCTTCCCTCTCTACCTCTGAGCAGAAAGATGCTTCCTTCAGGCTCTGCTCAGCTCCAGGCAGGACAAACGTGGGGGGGGGGGGCGGGGGGGCGGGTGGACAAGCACAGAGAAGGCGCCGATTTCCTCCTTCTGTCACGTGTCCCGGCTGCTCGGAGGCAGGATCCCGTCTGCCTGTATTATTTCAAAGTTCCATTGTTCTGCCCTCACTCGGGGGGTTCAGGACGCTGTGGGCTGTCCTTTGCTCTACAACAAAGCCTTTCTCTTGTGAGACGCTGAGAAAGCCTATTGTGGGAAGAAAAGGTCAGGTAGCAACAGAGGGACTCTTCAGTTTAAACGTTTTATTCCTCACCCCCCAAAAGAATTCATCACCCAAGGTGTTTAAACTTTGAAGAGAATCTTCAAGGAAGAAAAATGGCTTCTCTTGTTTGTTTCCCCATCTGGGTCTGTCTTTCTAGGAAAGCACTGTGTCTTGGAGCCCAGGTCCTGGTTAGGGCCAGATCGAGCCTGTCCCCTGGGTGGAGGGACCCATGGGCTGGGCGGGTAGTGGGAGCCTCTGTTGTCCATCCTCCGTCTGGACCACAGCCTCGTGACTCTTCAGGGCTGGGGGTGGCGCCCGTGGGGCACTCATTCAAGGCCAAGCTCTTCTCCTCCAGAGTTTGAGGCAGAGGGTTTACCTCTCTGGCTTCCTCCCACCCGAGGCCAGACTCAGAAGCCCCGCCCCTCCCCAGGTGTCTGGAACCACCCAGAAGATGAAGGTCGACCTCGAGCAGCACCTGGCCCGGCTCAGTGAGATCTTTGCCACCCGGGGCGATTACCTCCAGACGCTGAAGTTCATGCAGCAGATGGCGGGCAACATCATCGTGCAGTTGGCAGGGGTGCCCGTGTGGACAGAGGTCACCGAGGAACTGACCGAACTGGTCAACCAGACTGGCTACGTGGAGTACTACCGGTGAGGGGCCCCGGGGAGGGGTGATGGGGCTGCCCCAGCTTCCTTCATCCAAGCCAGCGTCTTGGGGCTTGGGCTGGGAAGTGGCACCAGAAGGTCTTAAGCCTTAATGACTGAAATCCCTAGGACATGAGAGCTGGTGGGGGCCGAGCGGTGGGCATGTGGTACAGCCTGCTTGTACAGGCAGGCGCTGAGCCCCAGGGAGGGGCAGTGATGTGCCGAGATCTCAGCGCAGGAGGCTGGACCTGGCCTCCCACCCCGCACACAGCAAGGGGCTCCTCTGGGACCAGCATCCTCTGTGGCTGGCGCTGGGTGAAGTGCTGGTGGCTTATGGGTTCCTCACCTGCCCGGGTTTCTGGGACAGGGTTCCCTGCACCTGCATTCTCAGCCCCAGAGGTGCAGGGCGTCGGGGAGACGGCAGCCTCTTTGCCTCTCCCCAGGGGCAGCTGCTTAGCAAGCTCAGAGATGCCTCCAGCCTGAGTGATGTGGGCTGCGGGGCGCCACCCCACCTTTGCCATGTCAGGTATGCAGGTTCATACCTGTGTCATCGAGCCTTTGGGGTTTCATTTACGTCTCCCCTGCCTCCCCATCACCCAAACCCCATCCCAGGTGAAGGCACTGGACACAGGCCAGCTGACCAGGGACCGGCTGCCCTCCCTCCACGCACAGGGTCTGGTGAAGGTCACTCTGGGGACAACCAAGAAAGGAGGAGGCAGTCCCGGCTTTGGGGGGCTCCCAGCCGAAGGGTGACACCCACTCATGGCGTACACGTCCTTGCGCACCCAGGGCAGGGCGCCTGGCACGGAGGCAGTGCTGGGGAGCAATGGACACAGGAGCCCTGAAGAGCAGGTGTCCGCTCTTTGGATGCCCCTCCCGCCACCCCCCCCTCCGCCCCCCTTTGTTGCCTCCCCTTCAAGCCATTAGCAAAGGTCAGAGTCTTTACCACAACGCTGCACAGTTTACTCTGGGCTCATTTCCCCTTTATGAGAAAGCCTCATCCCAGGCTGAACTGACCCAGAGAAAATGCTTCTGGTGGCCTCTGGCCAGAGACCTCCCCATCCAGGGCTCTCCCTTCCCCGGGGTAGGAGATGGCCAGGCCCCGACCAGGGGGAGCTCATGAGGCCCCCCCGCCCTGGACAGCGCTCCTTGTTCCTCCCCTTCCGCCCATCCAGCCCCTGCCTTTCCAGATGTCACCAGTGCAGCTTCCCACCAGATTTTTTTTCGCTCACGTGCAAAAGCACCTTTCTCCCAAGTGACCACAAAGAAACTACCAACTCTAAGGACTGGTTGTGACTTGTGACCCAGTACAGGGGCATCTGATTAGTCCTGTGACGTGAGGGACAGTCATTGCCTGAGCCTCCTACATCTTTCTGTCGTGGAAAGTTAGGTATCCGTTTTGACCCTGCCATTCTCTCTGAGTGGACCTAACCTGGGGCCATGTACGCCGAAGGGCCTAATGCGGGCACTTGGGGAATGACTGTGGTGGAATAAGTCAGAATGTATGTATCAACCGGGACTCACGTTTAAGATGATTTTATGGAAAACTGGGGTAAGCGTGGCGACCGCTGCACAGTATCTATTTCAATGTGGGCGACTGAGAGCGTCCTCTGGAGCCCCCATCCCCAGCTTCCACCCCTGTTCAGGTCTAGTTCAAGGGTAGCACCTGTGGCTTCTGAACATTAGTGATGTTCTGTCCCTTCCCCTCATCTGCTGTTTGCTCCCGCCTCTTGCCTGAGCTGCCCTAAAACAAAAGCCTTATTTTATTCTTCATGACCTAACCAGCCTTAGGGGCTGGGTCTCCTTTGGACAGCCTCCACGTCTTTGCTTTCCAAATGGTTCTAGAGCACAGCCATCCAGCTAAGCAAATTCTTTTTAGTACTTTTACACAAGGCCTGGCTAAGTATTGGAGGCAATTAAAAAGCTAAGAGATTCCTCTCCGGAGATTTACAAAGGGTGTAACAGCAATCGCATCAACACCGGATATGGGAGGAGCTGAGAGAGCAGGGGCCTGAGCTGCTCCTGCGAGAGCCAAGTTCTTGGTTAGAAACACATCCCCAGGTCATCACCAGGCTCCTCTGGGAAAATGCATCCGCCTCGCAGAGCTGTTTCCAGGAACCCTTTACTACACAAGGAGGCGTGGATGCCTTGAAACACAGTCCTCGTGGAGAGTCGGTTAGAAGCAGTCCTAACTGATTTCCTGCTAATGTGCAGAGTAGAGGAGAGAGAGGTAACAAGAAACCTTTATGTTGGAAACATGAAACCAGGACTTTGAGAGGCGCCTGGTGGCTGGCTGTGTCTCTTGTAGGAAGGCTCCGAGACATGGAGAGTCTGGAATTCCTGGTCCAGGCTCTTCTCCCACGGGCCTCAGTTTAACAATCGTAGAACGAGGTTCTTTTTTTTAAAAATTTATTTTTTGCTGCATTGGGTCTTCATTGCTGCGTGCGGGCTTTCTCTAATTGCGGCAAGAGGGGGCTACTCTTCCTTGCAGCGTGCGGGCTTCTCATTGCAGTGGCTTCTCTTGTTGCGGAGCACGGGCTCTAGGCATGTGGGCTTCAGTAGCTGTGGCGCACGGACTCAGGAGTTGTGGCGCACGGGCTTAGTTGCTCCGCGGCATGTGGGATCTTCCCGGACCAGGGTTCGAACACGTGTCCCCTGCATTGGCAGGCGGATTCTTAACCACTGCGTCACCAGGGAAGCCCTGTAGAATGAGATTCTAATGCTAGATGTTCCTGAGGTTCTTTCAAGCTCCGACTCTGATTCTAGGAAGACTGGCTCTTGGTGGTCTCGTCCTAGTGGTGGGCGGGGCGGGCTCTGCACTTCCCCAGAGCCGCTAGATCCATTCCTGGGAGCTCCAGAGACTACAGTGGCTGCCCCGGCTCCGCTCCAGGCAGGGAATCGAGGATTTTGATTTGTCCCCTTTTTGAGGCGTTTAGCCTCCATTCGTAAAGGGGGAAGGAACCTGGTTTGGCTGCCAGGCGGCCTCCAGCGTGCTCTCCCCGACTTGGAGCTTCTTTGTCACTTTCTTCCAGCTCCACCCCACTCCCTCCCCACACTCCAAGCTCTTTCTTACCCTCCTTGTGGTATTAGTGAAGCTGAAAACATTTGCTGGAGAGAAGTCAACGAATTTGCTTGGCTTTTGCATCAAGAGACATAATGATCAGAAGACTTCCCTCTTCTGGGACTAGGAGAAGCCCCTTCTCTCTGCTCCCTGCCTTCTCCGTCCACCAGTCCCCAGCGCTCAGACTGGTCCCCCAGCGCAGGGCCGATGGAAGTGGCTGCTCAGCGAGGCTGGAGCTGAGGTGTGAGGGCACCTTGGGATCCTGTTTGGAAGGGAACGAACCAGGGTGCTTTGCTTGGGGTCTTGTCAGCGCCCTTGGACTTGGGTACCCTGGGCTCTGCAGCCCGTGCTTTGGAGAAGCAGAAAAGCAGGGATCCCGGAATCCCTCTGCCTTTCTTTGTTTCCCTTTTCATTTAGCGAGCACTTAATCCTCACAGAGTTCCGGCCTCCTTCACAGGTTTGCAAACTGAGGCTCAAGGGGGAGGGGGGGTGCAACTTGCCAAGTTCTCCAGCTTGTGTGACTGCCTTTCCCCATCACCTCAGCCCCGGGTGGGCAGCAAAAGGCCAGAGGAGTGAGGGGCTGGGAGGCCTGGAGGTTCTTGGTGCCTCGGGATGACCTGGCCTGGGTTCCCTTGCCCCACCCCGAGCTCCTGATGGTCTGGGGATGAACCCACGCATCCGAGAATCCCCTGGCCCTAAGCTCGGTGCCTGGCACAAAAGGTGGTTGAAATCAAAACCTAATCAAGGGCTTCCCTGGTGGCGCAGTGGTTGAGAGTCCACTTGCCGATGCAGGGGACATGGGTTCGTGCCCCGGTCCGGGAAGATCCCACATGCCACGGAGCGGCTGGGCCCGTGAGCCATGGCCGCTGAGCCTGCGCATCCGGAGCCTGTGCTCCGCAACGGGAGAGGCCGCAACAGAGAGAGGCCCGCGTACCTCAGGAAAAAAAAAAAAAAAAAAAAAACTAATCGAAAGGATGTATGTATATGTATAACTGAATCATTTTGCTGTACACCTGAAACCAACACAACATTGTAAGTCAACTACGTACACTCCAGGACTTCCCTGGCAGTCCAGTGGTTAAGACTCCGTGCTTCCACTGCAGGGGGCGTGGGTTCGATCCCTGGTCAGGGAGCTAAGAGCCCACATGCCGCCGGGTGTGGCCAGAAAAGAAAGAAAAAAACTATACTCCAATATAAAATAACAATTAAATTAAAAAAAATAAAATAAGCTACAAGGATGTATTGTACAATGTAGCCAATATTTTATAATAACTATAAATGGAGTATCACCTTCAAAACTTGTGAGACACTATATTGTACACCTGAAACTTATGTAATCTTGTACAGCAACTATACTTCAATTTTTTTAAAAAAGTTTAAAAAAAAGGGAAACAAAAGTAAATGAAAGGAGAAATTTATTTCCTCGGCTGCACCAGCCATGTTTCACACTCCTGGCCACACGTGGGTAGTGACAGAGAGAGTGGACAGTGCAGAGGTGGTCCACTTGCATCACTGCAGAAAGTTCAGGGGACCGTGCTGGTTCAGACATTCAGCTGGGGCAGGGGAAGGTGACTCCTTTGTCCGGGCAGAAGCGGGGTGCAGCTCCCAGAGCCCAGAGGAGCTGTCCACCATGCACGCTGGGTTCTTCCTGTCCGGGGCAGGGGAGCCCCCTGGTCTAGTTTGCTTAGCCACTGGCTGTGGGTGGTTTGAATCACGAAGGGTCCAGCGGGCCTGGGGCAGTGGTCCAGGCCTCCCTGGTGGACCCCAGGTGGGCAGTTCTGCCCTGCTCCCCTGACCATCCCTTCCGGTCTGCTCAGGTGGCTCTCCTACCTCCTGCTCTTCGTCCTGGACCTGGTCCTTTGCCTCCTCGCCTGCCTGGGACTGGCCAAGAGCTCCAGGTGCCTCCTGGCCTCGTGAGTAGCCCCGCCTCTGGGCCTGGGACAGGAGCTGGCCAAGGGTGTGGGGTGACAGTGCCACCAGCAGAGAGATGAGGGCCTGGCAGGGCTGGGAGGATGTGGGGGCAGCAGCCACTGGCTCACCATCTGGACACCAAGCCACACCAGGCTTTCTTCACGTGTCCCCTCCCTCCTGGGCCTGACTGTTGAGCAGCTGAGGCGTTAGAGACACTCACTTCCTCAGCTTGCGCCCTCACTGCTGTGTCTCTTCGGCTCAGGGACCTGTGCCCCAGGCATCGGTCCATATCCCTCCGCCAGCAGTCAGCGGGGCGATGTCAGGGCAGGGTCTGAGACTGCCCTCAGGGCCACTGCAAGAGTCTGGGGGTTGAGGGGACAAGATCGTAGCCGAGAGGGAGGACGCTGAAGGTTGGCGGGGTGACAGCCATCACGGGGTCCCCTGCCTGCCGGCCTCGGCCTGGATCCCACCGGCAGCTGCCTCTCTCCTAGGGTGCTGTGCTGTGGGGTGGTGGCCCTGCTTCTCAGCTGGACGTCCCTGGCTGCTGACACTGCTGCGGCGGTGGTGAGTTGGGTGGCCTGGGGGTGCTGGGTGGTCTGACCAGGTGGACCGTCTGTCCAGTGTCCCCGGGGTAGGGCCAGCTGCCAGTCTCAGTCCCTAACCTAGAATCGCAGAGTCTCAGGACTACAGGGGCTGGGCTCATCTGTGCCAGCCCCTCCCCCTTCGGATGGGGACACAGGCCCAGGGAAAGGAAGGGGCTTGCCCAGGGTCACGAGGCATTTCGGGGCAGAGCCAAGATAAGACCCGTGGAGCCTGACCCCTTTCCCACCCCGCTGGCCCATTCCCAGCCACGGCTTGTGAGGACGGGCACAGATGACCAGGTGCCTTCTCTCTGGGTATAAAGAACTAACCAGGTCTGGTGGGTGTGGGCGGGGTTTGAACCTCAGGCTGGAGGAGCCCTCCAGCTTCAGAAGCACACTCCTGGGCCGGCTTCCCCGGTGTCAGGAACGTGGAAGGTGGCGTTTCACCTGCTTCCCGTCCCCTTGCCCTTGGACTCGCACACACCGCGTAAAATGCAGTGGTGTACGTTTCCTGGTGTGGTGCCTTGAGATGGGAAAAAACAAAACCAAGCGTGCGCACACACACACACGCACACGCACACGCAAGGTGGGTCAGGAGTGTCGGGGGGAAGCTTCCTGTGCAGGTATGTTTGGTCTTTAATAGACCTAATGCTTGAGAGAAGCTGTGTGCGTGTCATTCGTTCGTTCGTTCGTTCGTTCAGCTGATGCTCGGCTGTGTGGCACTCGACGGTGCAGGTGCCTGGAGATGCAGAAACAGGAGGACGTGATGTTTGCTCTTGACTAAGTCACAGCCCGCAGAAGAAAGACGTGTAGGCAGATCACTGCAATCCCATGCGAATCGATACATGGTGGTGCACAGTGTGTGTGTGTGTGTGTGTGTGTGTGTGTGTGGCACAGGGGGCAGGATGTACCAAGGGATTTCAGGGAACCCCTAGCTGACTTAAGGGCCACAAAGTAACCCCGTGACCTGCATCCGTTCTGCCCTTTCAACCTGGGGAGAAAAGAAAAGGGCTCACTGGAACCCCTCTACCCAAATACGTGCCTGACCCAGTGACTTGGGGGCTGGCTGGTGGCTCTGGCCTTGACCACTTTGCATCCATGACGCCCCCAAAATGAGTAGACCCTGGTGCAGCTTGGCTCAGAGTAGCTTTGGGCAAAGCTTGTCCAGCAGGGGGAGGAGGTGGGCATCTCCTGTTTTGTCTCCCCTCCGCCCATGGCTTTGGGCAGGAGGGAACACTGGACAGGCGGAACCTACATCCCCGGGGCTGAGGCCCCTCCAGATACAGGGAAGAGCAGAGGAGGAGAGCGCAGGCCATACTCAAGCGCATCCTGCCTTCATCTGGAGCTGGGTGGGCTGTACATGGTCTGGGGGGAGCAGCTGCTGGCCGGAGCCCCACGCACGGCTGCCTGGCGACAGCCTCTCCTCCAGGGACAAGAGTGGGCGCAGGGAAGCTTGCATATGGTGGGCCCTTCCCCCATCTGCCTTCTCAAAGCAGCGATGGCCTCCAGCTGGCCACCACGGGCTGCCTTTTGGGAGACAGCTCCTTCCCAGCGGGGACTTCAGCTCCCAGCTGAGGGCCCCGGGATGCCAGGGAGCTGGAGAGAAAGGCCATTTCCCTAATTCGATTAGTCAGGCCCTTGTGTGTGAGAGAGAGAGAGGGTGAGGGAGTGAATGGGCCTTTGATGGGGCTACGGATCCTGCTGCATTTTAATAGGAAGTTGGGGGTGAAGGAGCCAGGCCCTCAAAGGCTATTGTGGGGAGCTTTTGTGTGGCCACTGCCCCTGCTCTCTGAGCCTGTTTTTCGGGGGTGGTGTTTTTGTTTTTGAGATCTGTGGGACCAGAGCTCCAACACTGCCTTCCCGCTGCAGGGGTGGCCTCACCCCCTGCCTTCCCCGTCCCCCCCCACCAAAGGGCCTCCATGAGACAGGAGTGGAGCTGTTGCCCCTAAGAATGTGATGGGGAGGGAGCTGGGAGCCGGGTAGCTGAGGCTTATCTGCCCGACCACCCCCTGTGCAGTCAGGAGTATAAGGCAGAGGTGAAGGGTGAGGGGCAGGGAGGAGAGAGAGCGCCCAAGGAGAAGGAAGGGGGAGAAGTGGATTCCGGGAGAGGAAGGAGGAAAGGGTCACCCAGGTGCTTTGGCCGCAGGGCACCCCTGACTGAGCCGAGGTCTCCCTGAGAATCGGCCACGGAGGGACGGCGGGCCCACCTCACTGGGCCCCGACCCAGTGAGGGTTTTTTTTTTTTTAATATTTCATATAATAAGCTTATTTTAATAGTGCAAAAAATAATCTGCTTCCAATCAATAAAGGAAAAACTTCCAAAGAATTTTATAAAGATAGCCAGTACTTTGAACAAATACAAAAGCAAATACTAGGTAAATATTACAATTATATACTCCAAGCCCAAGGAGCCTGGCCGCTGGAACCCCCCTGGCTGGGTCCTCATCCCCTCCCCCCCCAGCAGGGGGCCCCGGGGACATAACTGAAGTTCCTCAGACCTCCCTCTCCTTGTCTCCTCTTGTGTAAAATGGGGAGAACAGCAGTCGCCTTGAAGGGCTGTTGTCGGGAAGAGATGGGTTGGTTGACCCCTGGGAGGCACACAGTAAGGGTCCATTGGTTTACTGCACACTTACTACCTGTCTAGGAGGGTCACAGGGTGACTCCAGCTGTGCCCAGTGCACCCTCCCCCGCCCCCCATCCCCATCCCTGTTGCGTGAAGAAAGCACACGTGTGCACACGCACATACGGCCCTTGTCTTCACCGACAGGAAGGTTGAATCCTCCCTGAGGGTCTGAAGAGCAGACCTGGCCTGAGGAGGGGGGGTGAGGGGCACATCCCTGGTGGAGCCTCTGCCAGCGGCCTCCTGTCCTTCTTTGGATCCCAAATTTGTTGGGGGTGACCCAGACCAAGATGGCGGCCTCGCTCGTCACGTTTCCCAAGGCCTCCCCATGGCCCTGCCTGGCTCTGGCTCCCCTCTCTCTGCCACTCCTGTAACGAGGGTGAGGGTGCACCCCTGGGCCCGCTGGTGCGGCAGCTCTGACTTATATTAATAAACCAGTCTGATGATGGACCCTAGTGATTTGAGTATAAAAGGGTTCTCCCAGGGTCCTGAGGCATGTGGTTGTGTGAGCGTGTATATGTGCGCGGGTACAGATGTGGCTCTGTGGAAGCTCTGTATCTGGAGGGGCGTTTTATTCCCCATTCCCACCCAGACACACACTTTCTAGACCATAAGTGCCGTAGTACAGCTTGCCACTGTGTCTCACGCCTAGAACATCGTGTGGCACCTGGTAGGTACTCAATAAATATTTGTCAATTCGGTGAATGAATGAGAGATGCTCCAGCATTGCCCCCTGAGGCAGCCCTTCCTGAAGGAGGACAGGGCACTGGCAGGAAAGGGCCATGGAGAGGAGTCCCCGGCTTGGAGAGCGTGCACTGGAGCAGGGGTGCCCCTTGGAACAGGCCAGAGGAACAGAGCTTCCCCTGGCTGCTCTGAAATGTGGAAGTCCCCCTCTACCCAGTGTCCCACTGCACCCCCCAGGCCAGATCTGGCGAGGGCCTGGCTCAGGATGGCATCCTTGCTGCTGCCTCTTCCAGGGCCCAGACGTGCTTGCACTCAGCCCTGTGGGCCTTTGGTGGTCACCTAGCCAGGCTGCGCTGCGGTGTCCCAGTCCCCCAACGCAGCAGTGGCAGAGCCCGGAACCCGTGTCCTCTCAGCCCGTGCGCTTCCTGCTCCCCCATCTCATCATGACAGGACCTGCACCCAAAAGCTCGAAGATGGATTCAGCACCAGTGTAGTTCTTTAGAAAGAGAGTCTGAGGGAGGCTTCATAGATGGACAGCCCCAGAGCGGGGATGGACTTGGTAACTGCAAGACAAAAAATAAAACAGAGATGAGCGAACGAGGTCATGGTGCAAATAACTCCAAGACACGTCCCGCAGCTTACCCTCGACCCAGGTCCCTCCCGGAAGAGGCATTTGGAAATCAGAGTTAACGGATCGTAGTGCCTGCTGTTGGCCACTTTTCTGAGTACTTTATGTAGATTAATTCATTAGATGAATAGCGTTTTTCTCTCCATGTGACTGAGGAGGCCGCTGAGACATGGGGTAAGGCATTTGTCTGTAAAGTTACAGAGCTGGGCAGGGGCAGAGCCAGGATTCGAGCGCAGGGAGGATGGCTGTTGACTGTTTTTGCCCACCTGGGTCTGAGCTGCGGGGTCCCCGTGCCTGGGGCCAAGGGCACCCGGTTCCTCCCAGGGCCCCGGTGTGTGACTTTCCTCCACCCCTCCCGTCTCTCCCCGGCTCAGGGCACCGGCGACTTCTGCGCGGCTCCCGACGCCTTCATCCTCAACATCACGGAGGGCCAGCTCCGCACAGGTAACAAGCTCTCGGGCCTCTGTGGTCAGAGCCACTCAGGATGCTCAGTGCAGGCCCGTGGTCAGCCAGGCTGTGCCTCTACTTACCCCTTTCAGCACGGTAGTCACCCATCGCCTCCCCACCCCTGTACTTCAGGTCCAGCTGGACCACTGGGTCATTTCTGAGAAGTTACCTCCTTCGGGAGCTCAGGTACCGGCTTGGCCGCTGAGGGTGAATGAGCACCTGGTCACGTGTGAGCTCCTGCCTGACCCAGTGTCTTTGCCTTGCAGAGGTGACCCGTTACTACCTGTATTGCAGTCAGAGTGCAAGCAGCCCCTTCCAGCAGGTACGGCCCGCCCAGCCCAGCCCTCACGCTGCCCCCAGCCCCCTTGGTGGTCAGCTCGCTCCCTCTTGTCCCCAAGCCCCAGCACTGACCAATAGGGTGGCAGTGGCTGGGTGTTCTTTGGGGTCCTGTGCAGGGGACAGTGCTCTCGGTCAGCGTGCACGCCCATCCACCACCCTGGATGCTGGTTACCATGCAGAGGCTGTGCAGTAGGTCTGGGTTGGGGCCCAAGATTCTGCATTTCTCACAAGCGCCACCCCCGGGCAAGGTTGTCCCAGCAGGACATTTAGAGTAGCAGGAAGCAAGAGAATGGGGCAGCTCTCAAGAAGCCTGAGGGCTGAGGGGAAGACCTCCTGTAAGCAGGAAGGGCCATGATCAGGGAAGCCCCTGCAGCTGCACACGGGGGAGGGGAATCAGGCAGCTGCGGGGGTCTCCTGGGAATCGAAGCTCATGCGGGACCTCGGTCTCTCCTGGCCCAGGCACTGACCATCTTCCAGCGCTCGCTGACCACCATGCACATCCAGGTGACGGGACTGCTGCAGTTTGCTGTCCCGCTCTTCCCCACAGCAGAGGTAAGGTGGCCGGCCACCTCCCACAGGGCCGGGCTTCGGAGACCAGGCTGTGGAAAGAAAGTGTTCCCTCCCGGCAGCCTAGCCGCTTCCTTTGGCTTTAAAGGCTTCTCTGCACAAGCTGCGGTTTGCGGTTTTATCCACAAGCCCTCCCCCCAGCGCTCATTCTCTGCCTCTCTGTCTGTCTGCATGTTTGTCTCTTTCTTTCTTCCTGCTTCAGAAAGATCTGCTCAGAATCCAGCTCCTGTTGAATTCATCTGAGTCCAGCCTCCACCAGCTGATGGCCATGTTGGATTGCCGGGGGCTGCACAAGGTGCCGGGGTGGCCCTGGGGGCGCGGGTGGAAGGCGGGGGCGGGGGGCACCCCAGCAGGCCACATCTTCCCAGAGACAAGGCTGCAGAGGCTGGGAGAGTGATTACCTGGGCTCCCTTCAGGCCAGGGAATGGGGTGGAAGAGGTGCCTGGTTTCTGGATTCTCTCCAGTAGCTGAGCCGGGGAGCCTCAGTGAAAGGTACCCGGGGGTGCAGGTAGGAGAGTTGGATCCGTTTACCTCTAGAACGCTGGGGGGCCCTGAGCTATATGAGGGTGGCTGTTCCCCATTGCCCAGACTCCCAGCCATCTGGTCCACCTGACCAATTCCTGAATTGCAAGTGGACATCCCATTCTCATTGCCAGGGTCATCTCTAGGAGTTTGGAATGTCGGACAATCGTGCAGGGAACACACTGGGAGTATGTGAGGCCCTCTCTCCCCCAGAGCGGAAAGCCAGTGCATGTCGATGTTTCACATCCCATGTGGAATTCAAGCAAATATTCGTAGTAACGTTCACAGCTGCGGTTTACTGAGTCCTTGGTTCTGTGTTCAGCCTTGTTCTGTGCAGTTTATATCCAACATGTCATTGAGTCCTCACAGTTTTACTGTGAGATACATGTTATTTTATGGGAAATTTTATAGATAAGCAACGTGTGTGTGTGTGTCTATGTATGTGGATGGATAGATATAGATAGGTAGACAGACAGATGTAGCTATCTACCTACCTACCTATCCGTATGTATATCTAAAAAGTAGCTTACTGAAGATCCCAGAGCTATCAATGCAAGGGCTTGGGTTTCCGACCCCAGCAGTCTGACTTCAGAGCTGAGAACATGGGAGTCGCCCCAGTACCCTTCCTCCCCTTCCACATCCAATCCCTCAGCAAGTCCTCACAGCTATACTCTCAAATATATCCTGCTCCGTCCACTTCTCTCTCCCTCCACAGCTCCCGCCTTGGTCCGAGCACCATCCCGCTCCCCTGGGTGACAACTGTGACCTCCTAGCCGGTCCCCACTTTCTCCCGTCCCCTTACCTTTCATATATGGCAGCCAGGCAGCCAGAGCGGTCTTTTAAAAATGAATAGGATCGGGCTTCCCCGGTGGCGCAGTGGTTGAGAGTCCGCCTGACGATGCAGGGGACGCGGGTTCGTGCCCCGGTCCGGGAAGATCCCACATGCCGCGGAGCGGCTGGGCCCGTGAGCCATGGCTGCTGAGCCTGCGCGTCCGGAGCCTGTGCTCCACAACGGGAGAGGCCACAACAGTGAGAGGCCTGCGTACCGCAAAAAAAAAAAAAAAAAAAAAAAAAAAATGAATCGGATCACATCCCTTCCATCCCCAAACCTGCCCGTGTCTTCCCATCACCTTGTGTAAAATTCAAACTCCTCGCCTGTCCGGCGAGGCCCAGCATGACCTGGTGCCCTCTCACCTGTCCCCTGCTGGCCTTCTTCCTCTTTCCTGAACACACCGAGCTTGTCTGCTCTGCCTCAGCTGCTCAAGGCACACTCCACTCCTTGCCGTCCTGGCCTCAGATTGAATGCCCCCTGTCCCCTGGCTCCCCCACCCTGCAAGCTCATCTGCCCTGTTCAGAGCCCAGCACACAGTAGGTATTCAGCAAAGGCTTGTAGAGAGAACCCGAGACGCCCCATCGTGTCGCGGTCCCGAGCGTGGACTGTTCAAGGTGCTTGGGATGGGGGAGGGGCAGAGATCCCGAGTCCAGGCTGGGGGAGAGGGGCTTTCAGAGACCAGCTCAAACCCCAGGCTGTGTCCCACTCCCCCTCCAACTGTGTGTCCCTCTTCCTCTGCCAGGACTACCTGGACGCCCTCACTGGCATCTGCTACGACGGCCTCGAGGGCCTGCTGTACCTCGGCCTCTTCTCCCTCCTGGCTGCCCTCGCCTTCTCCACCATGATCTGCATGGGGCCAGGGGCCTGGAAGCACTTTGCCACCAGGTGGGCTGCCTGGGCGGCTTCCTGGGGGAGGAGGCAGGAGGCTCAGCTCTGTGACTGAACCGAGAGCTGATAACCTGAGATGGAGAAGGGCAGCAGGGGGACCAGGCATTCAGCCCCAACAGGCTGGCTGGATTTCTGCCCAAGCGTCCGTGAAAGTCCAGACAGAACCCCAAAAGGAGGTTGGAGGGGGCCAGGGCAGGAGCAGGGCCAAGAATGGTGACAACGTCATGCCACAGCCTGGCATCCTTTGCTTATCCCCTCTTCCTCTGCAGGACTTTGTGGTGTGATGCTGCTGCTGGGAGGGGTGCCTCAGAATACCAGAAGGACATATTGTAGCACCAGGGCACCTATAGTCTCATTGAGGAGATAGACAGAGACAAGATGGTATTTCAGTGTCTTCAGAGTAGATCAGAAAAGGAAGCAGGGTAGGGAGGGTCCGTGTGCCTGTGGTCAGCATGGTGGACTGCCTGGAGGAGGTGGATGTGCAGTTGGGAATGGAGCAGAGTGATATCAAAGAACCTCAAGGAAGCACCTGTGGCCAGAGGGAGAGTCCTGGGAGGAAAGATAGGGAAGCGGGCCGGGGCCGCACTGCCTGGAGCCTCCCTCGCCCCTCACAGCTGGCCATATCCTACGTGTCATTCTAGGGACAGAGACTACGACGACATCGACGATGACCCCTTCAACCCCCAGGCCCGGCGCATCGCTGCCCACAACCCCCCTCGCGGGCAGCTTCGCAGCTTCTGCAGCTACAGCAGCGGCCTGGGCAGCCAGACCAGCCTGCAGCCCCCGGCCCAGACTATCTCCAATGCCCCCGTCTCGGAGTACATGTACGGCAGGGCTCCCAGGGCCTCCCCGGTACCTCCCCCGACACATCGGGCTGGATCTGCGGGCAGCACGTTTGGGTCCAGAGAGCCGGGTGGGGAGGAGGCATCCGAGGCCAGTGCCAGGATGCCAGGTGGGAAGGCCCCCGGGGAGCATCTAGTGCTGGAGGAAGAGCCCCTGCAGGCGTCAGGTCTTTTGCCTCAAGCTTGCAGGGCAGGTTGAAGGCCCGAGAAGCTGCATTTCTCCGGGCCACACTGCTCCCGGCGCCATCACCCCATCTGCTCCTCCCCAGGCCTCCCTGTCTTCCTGCCCTCACTCCCTCCCGTCTATCCGTGGTCCTTTTCCATCTCCCATCTGCACGCCCCCGGGACCCTCCTGTAGAAATCTGAGCAGACACCCCCCCACCCGGCCTCCCCAGCCTGAGCACTCCCCGCTCCTTTCGGCCCTGCAGGAACCAAGCTCTGCTCTTCGGTGGGAACCCACGCTACGAGAATGTGCCGCTCATTGGAAGAGGCTCCCCTCCGCCCACGGTAACCTGGTCTCCCGGGGCAAGGGCACTGCCCTTGTGGGGAGGGGGGAATAATTGAAGAGAAAACCTCCTGCGGACCCAGTGACTCCCCGCCACAGAGGTAGAAAAGAATGAAACAGTTTTGTTACCAGATAAGCATTAAACCAGACTGCCATGCACATCGCAGGCTGTCTGCTAAGGGGATTGTAGAGACAGAGCTCATCCTACACAGCCAGGCAGATAGAGGCACCGCATTCCGTACCCGTCCTCAAGATAAGCGATTCCTGTCCGCCAGCAAGAGGACTCGGCAGCACCATTTGTCACACTGGTTCATCCTAAATCCACCTGCTAATTGTGTGGCCATCAGGGCTCACTAAGTGCCGGGGAGATGGGGGACAGTCTCCCTGATGCTACCATTTCAGAGATGGCTCCCAGCCCCGGAAGAAAACGTTCCTGGATTGTAAAACTGCTGAGAGCCTTCGTTGGCCTTTAAAAAGCTTTACACACCTCTCAGAGGGACAGAGGAGTAATTTATGATGATCAGCTTTCTAAAGGAAATGCTGCTCAAAGAAGCATTTCTTTCCCTTTTTGCACCAAGGAAATTTTTTCTTTTTAGATTTACGTTTACCTTGACACCCTAGGCTAGAGGGTCAGGGGCCCCTGTGGTGGCAGGTCTGGCAGGGCTAATACCAGACCTGCCTGCTCCAAACCCCCCCTACCGCCGCAGCTCCTGACGTCCCCAGGCTGTGCCCAAGTGGGGTCTGCGCTTCCCACCCACCCTCCACCCCGGCCAGGGGACCTAGACGCAACATCAGGGTGTGAGGGGTGTGCCAGCTGTCTGCCCCTGGAGAAGTATGAGGGTCACCTCATACTACTGGCTGAGACAGAGCTGCGAATAGAGACAGCTGAGGTTCAGAAACACAGGCTCAACTCCTTCACTGCCGCGGCCCAGGTTGCATCCCTGGTCGGGGAACTAAGATCCTGCAAGCATCGTGGCATGGCCAAAAGAGAAAAAAAAAAAACAGACTCCAGTACCAAATGCCTGGGTTCCAATGCCAGCTCATTGCTTATGACCTCTGTGGCCTTGGGCGAGTACCTTTCTGTGCCTCAGTGTCCCCATCTGTAGAATGGGGATGTAATCGCACAGCACATAGGTGGTTGGAGCATTGGAGAAACTGCTCCTTACAGAAGCGTGTTTGTGTGGCGCAGTAAGTGCTGTGAGACTGAGCCACCTATTTATTTTACCCCCTCCTGCTGTCACCCAAGCTTCCTCCCACCCCACCTCCTCCACGGAGGCGTGGCCTATGTAAGAAAGAGGGGGCTCTAAGACCAGGTTGAAGTCTGCATTCTTGAGCCAGGGGTCTGTCTGGGAAGGAGCCCCTGCCTTCACTGGGCTGGGCGAGGTGTTTCACCTGCCCCATCCAGGTAGTTTGGAAGGAGCCGTCTAGTTGGTGAAATAGGAGCCCTGGAGCCCCAAGGACGGGGGACTAATGAAATAGACCTTGGCCCTGAGAACTGCAACGTTCACGTGCGCTCAGGGAATCCAGCGAGTGTGTCTGGGGAAAACCACAGTGCCTGACCCCGGAAGGAGAGATGGGGACCCAGGCCCATCTTCAGGACATGGATAGCCTGCAGGGGTGGGGGGGGGGAGTAGGGGGGAGACTCAGAAAGCTGTTGTAATAAGTGCCGTGTGGTGCTTTAGGACTAGAGGGAGGAGCTGCTTCGGGGTCTAAGGAGGTGACATTTGAACCTTACCTTGGAGCACTGGGTCTCACCCAGGAGGGAGCTTGCTCCCCCGGGGGACATTTGGCCACGTCTGGAGGCATCTTTGGTTGTCACACCTGGGGGGTCGCTGGTACTGGCATCTAGTGGGTGGAGGCCAGGGGTGCTGCTGCGCACAGGGCACCGCCCACCACGCAGGATGACCGGCCCCAAATGTGTGCAGTGTCGTGCCCAGACCGACCCTCTGGCTCTCCCCACCTTGCTGCTTTTTGCCCAGAGCGCCTCCCTGCTGTCCTTTTACAAACAGCACTAGACCCAGGCCTTACTCGCTCCCTGGGGGCCTGAGGCAGGGAGAGCGGCTGGTCCAAGCCTGCTTCCAGAGTTGGCACCTTTGAAATCCCAAGCTGGCTTCTCTCTAAACCAGAAGCCTCTGGGGTTCCTTTTTTCCTCCCGCCAGCTGCTGTGGCCCCAGGAATGCAGATTGATTGTAATGTTAATCTCAGTACAACATAATTAGGGGAGATCCGCTGCTGTGAAAAATAAATTACTCGAGGCACTGGGATGCCAAATAAAAATGAATTTCGGATTACCTTCTGTTCTGAAAGATCCAGGCCACCCTCCCTGACATTAGCAGAGATGATCAAGAACTGACCTTATTTGCAAGGACAAGGACGGACTAAACCTTCCCCCGCTATAACTGAGACCAGCCCAGAAACTCCAGTTGCTTTGGCAGAGTTGACTGCCCTGCCCTGCCCAGCTCAACCTGCCCCAGAGATGACCCCCCTCCCCTCCTAACATGCAAGAGGCATGAAGAGACGGCTGAGCCTGCTGACCAAGGAAGCCACAGCGTGGAGGATACGACGTGAGCCCCAGTAAAGGGGACACAGCTGACCGCTCCCCACTCTCCCCCTGCACCTGCTCTAAATATTATTCATCGGTACCCAGTGCATTTGGTGTACGGAAAATCCCTCCCCCTGCCAGCCCCATCTCTGGGACACTGGGGATTTCACTAAGGTGGGTGATATCAAGCCAGGCCATCAGAACCTACAGCCTCTTCCCTCGGCTAGAAATGTGTTTTCCCTTAGCTCTGCTTTCTAGGAATCACCTCCTGTCTTTCCAGGCACCGTATCCTGGGCCCGATGGACAAAAATGACCCAGGCACTTGTTTAAAAATACCAGTCCAGGGACTTCACTGAAGACGTAGCCCGGGTGAACCTCGTCGTCAAGCAAGTTTGGAAAATACTGCTTCAAGGAGGAGGGTCTCACCCTTGAACATCCATCACCTGGGGGACTCATTGCAACACAGGCCGCTGGGCCCACCCTGCTTCTGATTCAGAATATCTGGGGTGGGGCTCGGGGATTTGCATTTCTGACCTGTTCCCAGGCAAAGCCTGAAGCCTGCTCAGGGGCAGGCTTCCTCACTCGGCGTACCAACACTTTGAGCCAGAGTGTTGTGTGTCACGGGAGCCGTCCTGTGCACTGTCAGAGGTTTGGCTGCATCCCTGGCTTCCACCCACGCGATGCCAGTAGCATCCCCACTCCATAGCCCCCAGCCATGACAACTGAAAACGCCTCCAGACATTACCAGATGTCCCTGGGCAGGGGCAAAATTGCCCCTGGTTGAGACCCCCTGGGTTAAGGGGTCTCAGGCCCCTACTCCCTGCCCCCCAGCAGGAAGCCTTCGTCCATCTCTGGTGTGAACGGCCTAGACCTGGACCCCGGAAACATCCCTGGCGCTAGGAGACAGTCAGGGTCCTGTGGGCCATTGCTACTTGGAGTTAGCTGCCCAGCAGTACCTGGAGCTTGTTAGAAATGCAGAATCTCAGGTCCTACGTGTGATGTGAGATGTGCTAACCTAAGAAGCCGCATCTCTACTTCCGAGCAGAGGCCGGCTAACATCTGTGAATGAATGCTTAAACTTTGTGTTTCTCCGACTTGGCTGCACTTGGAAGAACTTACAGAAAAATATTCGTGGCATTTTATTTTATTTTTTTCTGTAAGATAATTATAGTCTTATTTTTCTCACATCAAAAGGAGAAAACAACTTATCTCTCCTGTCCTAACCCTTAATGAGCAATTTGCCAGCGAATTTAAATGAATTTATCTTGTAATATAATCGCCATGACGATCTTAGATCATTCCAGGAGTTGTCAAGCTTGTTTTACGAACTAGGACATTCAGTCTAAGAGGATTAATGTGAATTGCTAAGCGCTACACAGCTAGTAATAATGATGATAATAAGCAATAATAGTGATAACGTTTACTGAGCACCTGCTATTAAGCTGATTCAGACATAGTCACTTTTGTGGGGTTTTTTGTGGTACGCGGGCCTCTCACTGCCGTGGCCTCTCCCGTTGCGGAGCACAGGCTCCGGACGCGCAGGCTCAGCGGCCATGGCTCACGGGCCCAGCCGCTCCGCGGCATGTGGGGTCTTCCCGGACCGGGGCGCGAACCCGCGTCCCCTGCATCGGCAGGCAGACTCTCAACCACTGCGCCACCAGGGAAGCCCCACGTCACTTTTATCTAGTAGCAGCGGATACTGAGCTGCTTGACTTGCTCTCCACCTCCTCACTTTCCTTAGGCAGCGTCCCAGGACCCAGGAGATATGTACCCACCTGCATGCAGGTGTAGCCCACAGCGTGACTCTCCCAGCTTTACGGAGGGATTTGCTTTTGCACTACTCGATGCCAGTTGGTCAGGGAGGAGCCTCGTGGGTCACCGGCCAGCGCTGCTGGTGGTACTTTAAAAGGCTTAATTTTATGTTATGTGTGTTTTATCACATAAAAAACAATACTGGTGGGTGTGGCCTAGGTTTCAGGATGCTTTTAGACCCACCCCGCCCCCACAGTGTCTCAGATACACAGCCACGTTTGAGAACCCCCGTGTCAGGGGTCTTGCCTGCTTATGTCACTCCATCCTTTCAGCGGAAGAGCTGAGTGTTCTTAGGGCCATCGTGCAGGTGGGGAAACGGAGGCTTGGAGCGACTGGAGAGCCTCCGCCGAGGTCATGGGATGAGTAAGGTGCACAGCTGGGATTTGAGCCTGGCTCTCTGAGTCAGTGGGCTTGTGCCCCCGGCCTGCTCACTAGGCGGGCTTCTAGGCACACTGCCGCATTAGGGTGGCTGGTCGGTGTGTGCATCTCGAGTTCGAGGCTGGGACCCAGACGTCCTGATGGCCCCAGGGTTGGAAGCATCAGCAAACACGAAGCGTGCCCAGGCCACTCGACGATCCTCTGATAATCGCCACGAGGCCTTGACATTGAAACTTGGTGCCCGGCCACTGTGGCTGGCCCAGCTCGCACTTCCTCAGAAGTTCCAGCATTTTTGCTAGTACGGTGTCTGGTTTAACGGGTGATGTGTGACCCTGTTCTGACTGTCCCCTCCCCTCTCTCCCACAGTACTCTCCCAGCATGAGGGCCACCTACCTGTCCGTGGCAGATGAACACCTGAGGCACTATGGGAATGAGTTTCCAGCCTAACACGCTTTCGGGAGTTCCTGCCTCCTTGATCCATTTTGGTTTTTAACTAAGGCAAATGCAAGCGTGTTTCTTTCATAGAAACCAAAGGCATCTAGAGACTGTGCGTGGACCTGCAGGATTGGAAGGCTCCTGCTGGCGCAAGGGAGTGGCTGAGATTCAGGGAGGATCGGCCTGGGGTTGGCTGAGATTCCCAGGCAGACGGAAGACCCATGACTCGGACCAGCCTCTCCCTCCTTTGACCTCCTCTCCACACCGGAAATGCCCTCCAGGGGCTTGGCCGTCCCTAAGCTGGGGGAGCCTGGTTCAGTTTGCGCCTGCGCCCCACCCTCACCAGGTGGTGAATGACAGTGAGGAGGACCAGGTCAGGCTTGAGGGTCCCCTTGCCTGGACTGTGCCTCCTCCTGGCTGCTCGGATGGGTACCATTTCCCCACAGGTAAAGGTGGAAGGGCGGATCAGGAGATGACATCCCTGATGAGACCAGACACTGTCCAAATCTGTCTCCCGGGGCCAGGTGGACTCTTCCTGTGCCACCAGGGGAAGGCACTGGCAGGCTCTGCATAGGAGGCTGGGGGACCAGAGCCTCGTGCCTGGTGGGCTTCCAGGTGGCAGGGGTGGGCCTGTCTTTCTGCAACCCTCTGTCGCCTCACCTCCATTCCAGAATCGCTGCTGTGAGTTTGCTCACCGCGGATAGGGACAGTCTCAGGTATTCACAGACACTTGGAAAGCAATTCTCTTTTTTGCCAGTGTTTTAAAGAGTTTTGATTATCCAAAGAATTGAAACTCACAGCACAGCCGGTTTTTACTATAGATGTGGGGTTCATCCCTCCCACCTGATTTGTCTACCAAAATAAAAATCAGTGAGACATCCTGTCCCAAGATGCTGATTGATGGGGTTGTGGGTTCACCCCACCCCGAGTGAGGCATTTTGAGAGAACAAAGTCTCTAAGAGGCAAGTCTGAACAGGAACAGGGTCTGGTCCAGGAGACTGGCTCAATGCCCAGGTCAGCTCTCCCCGCCCCCACCCCCCCACCCCCCGCTTTTGTCTTCAGGAAAGTTTGTCATAAAAGGTTTTAGCAGAATGGGCTGTGTCTTGATGTGAAGATAGGTGTCTCCCTACCTCTCCCACCATCCCGTCCCCACCCCATTGTCCCCCAGCCCCTGACCTACGCCTGCTGGGTGAGAAGGAGCTTGTGGACCAGGAGAAAATAATGACCCACCATCCTTCCCGCTGAGGATCCAGGGTTAGGGTCTTTGGTGCTTCCAACCTCCTGCCGCCGAAGAGCGCACGGCCCGGGAGCCTCCGCAGCCCGGCACACCGCAGCAGGGGCGCCAGGGTAGTGTGGCTGTGGACAGGGGCTCCATTTCCATTTTGGAATCACCACCTCCTGGTCAGAACACTGTCAGCAGAGTGGTTCTCAGCCCCCAGCCAAGCCCCCACGACAGCGGGGCCACGGGGCCTCTGGGACTGTCTCCCCCATTCACCTGTACATACGTGCACCGTGAAGCCACCTTCGTGAGGCCCGTCACGTGCAGACAGGACTTGGCGACATCAAGGTGGCGCTTCTTAACACTCATTGGCGACTAGAGTTGTTTTTAATGCATGTAAACTAAACTAGAATCCCTTGGGTGGTTCCTGAAGGGGCCGTGTGGGCACACCTCTGCTTGATACACGTGTGCCCTCACCTGGGGGAGAAATAAACCACTGGTACTAAAATGCACACCGTGTCCAGCTTCCTCAACTTTGGGAATGACGAGGGCACCTAACAGCGCCTTCTGGCTGGGTTATGCGCGGGGAGTGCTCCAGAGCGGGTCTCAGTATCAAGGATTGAAAGACAGGGCTATTGAATGAATGTCCCAGGGCCTCTCCGGCGGCGGTGACCTTGCTGCTCTTCAGGACCAAGGACAGGCCTTCCTGCTCGAGTCTCCAAAGTTCCCTTTAAAGGTCATTGCTTCTAAGGTTGCTGATAACGAGTGGCGTTTATTGAGTATCTCCAGTGTACCAAGGACTGTCCCAAGGATTCACATTAATTGTTAAACCTCATCATAACCTTATGAGGTCGTTTTGTAAATAAAAGAACAGAGGTGCAGAGAGAGAGTAAGGACTTAGTTGGAGCTGAGACAGGCTGGGACCTGGGGCCCTTGGCTGCAGTGCTTACACCTGGACACACATCTCCTCAAGCAACAAAACACAAAGAAACTATAAGGGACTAAAAATAACTGCATGCGTGTGCAGTTGGGGCAAACTCTGGACAAAAAGACCCCCAAAACCCAACCGCCACTTCTGAAGAGCTGGGAGCAAAAGCAGGGCACTGCGCGTGCCCCCTGTGCACAGCACCACCAGTGGGGTGGGCGGAGACCACCTAAGCCACCCTTCCAGCTGGACCCCCGGACACACCCCCACCCTCACCCCATATAAGGAAACAGCTCAGCTCCCCCCTTTTCGGGGAGCAAGCAAGGGAACCTGTTACTTGTTTTCGCTCTCTCCTGCTGCAGCAGGGGCCCCAATAAAACCTGGCCTGAATTTCTTGTCTGACCTCTAATCAATTTCTATTGGTCGGGTAAGTCCAAGAACCCTGGTCGAGAACAGAGTGTCAGGGCCGGGAGTGTGTAACCCAAAGCCCCGGCTGGGCACCTCTGTGCCATTCCATGGGCTTGGGGCGGGTGTCGTGCAGCGGGCCACCTCTCCCAGCTTTGCACCGGGTCCTTGCTGTCTTCTCCTCCTAAACTCTTCACCTCCACGGGGTGCTGCTATGGGCCTGGGCGCCGGGGATGCACAGCGTCTTTCCAGCTTTCTTTGCAGCATCTCATTTGTCCGCTGAACACCTGGGCCAGCCTGGGAGGGCTGGGCAGGCCGACCCCAGCTTCCCGCCCATGGTCCTCAGCTACTGTTGACTTCCATGCAGCAGCTGTGCTCCCAGGATCGACCGTGTTTCAAGCCTTTGCCGGGAACAGGCGTGTGTTTGAGGCTGTCGTTCACACTTATCCCTATGGAGCGGCAGACGGAGTGGTCCCTTGTGCACTGTTGGCGGGAATGTGGAATGGTAGAGCTGCTGTGGATAACAGTATGAAGGTTCTTCAGAGAAATTAAAACTTGGGACTTCGCTGATGGCGCAGTTGTTAAGAATCCGCCTGCCAAGTCAGGGGACACGGGTTCGAGCCCTGGTCCGGGAAGATCCCACATGCCACGGAGCAGCAGCTAAGCCCATGCGCCACGACTACTGAGCCTGCGCTCTAGAGCCAGCGAGCCACAACTATTGAGCCCACATGCCACAACTACTGAAGTCTACGCACCTAGAGACCGTGCTCTGCAACAAGAGAAGCCACCGCAATGAGAAGCCCGCGCACCGCAACGAAGAGTAGCCCCCGCTCGCCGCAACTAGAGAAAGCCCGCGGGCAGCCACGAAGACCCAACGCAGCCAAAAATAAAAATAAATAAATAAATAATAACTTCTTTAAAAAATTAAAAATGGATAAATTCTATTAAGTAAGTAGAATTACCATATGATCCAGCAATTCCATTTCCCAAAAGAATTGAAAGCATGGTCTCAATATTTATACCCCCACGTTCATAGCACCATTAGTCATAATAGTAAAAAGTGGAAGCAACCTTAGGGTCAATAGACGAATGGGTAAACAAAACGTGCTCTATCCATACAACGGAATATCACTCAGTCTCAAAAAGGAAGGAAATCCTGACACTTGCTACAACATGAATGAACCTTGAAGACATTAAGCCCAAGTGAAATAAGCCAATTACAAAAAAGGAACAAATACTGTGTGATTCCACTTAGAGTCGAAATCACAGAGACAGAAAGTAGGACTGTGCTTGCCTGGGGCTGGAGGGGGGCCGTGGGGTCTTATTGTTTAACGGGAGTAGAGGCTCAGATTGGCATGATGAAAACAGCTCTGGAGATGGACAGTGGTGACAGTTGCATAACAATATGAATGTACTTAATAACACTGAACTGTGCACTTAAAAATGGTTAAGGTGGTAGATTTTATGAGTACTTGACCACAATAAAAACTTGGAAAAAGAGGTTGAGGGGACAGCAGTGCAGTGGATTGCGGACTGGCCTTGGGGATGTCCAGGGCCAGGGGCCACTCTCAGCAAAGAATTTCAGTTGCCAATTCTGCTGTGATTGAGCAGAGATCTGAGAGACCATGCATTTTTTAAACTGGATCCTTGTGCCTACTTCTAATTATATGCTCTATTGCTGGCTTCCCAGGGTGGCTGAGACGGGCTTGCACGTGGGTGCCACCTGTCTTCCCAGTGAACACAGCCGCATGTTGGTGGTTGGCAGCATGCAGGCTTTCTGCGTGGGGGCGGGGGGGGGGCGCGGATCGGGAGCCTGTAATAAATCATTGCAATAATAGGAGAAAGGAGGGGGCAGTTTTCCTTTCAACTTTTCCCATTTCCCCCTTTTCCACCTCTGCCTCACTTCCCTGCCCGGGGCATAACGTGTGTGTAGGGAGCCTCAGCTTCCCAAGGCTGGGGGTGGGGTGAGGAGGGCACCTGGGACCACAGTCCCAACCAGCCAGGGCTCCAAGGTGGAGCCAATCTTCTTGACGTTTTGTCCGGGTCTGATTCACATCTGACCACACAAAGCCGGTTCAGTGGGGCTTTCAGATGCTCCTTTACCCAGCCCCCATCTCCCCCCTCGGCATCCACCCTGAGGGACTCCTTGACTCAGAGAAACTGGTGGCGGGAGTCGAGGGGAGGGGCGGTTGATGTCAGCAGTCACTTCTGGGCTCGCCTTTGGTTAGTGCAGTTGGGCAAAGTGCCGTCTCAATGGCAATTTTGTTGCACCTGCCCGGTAGTGGTGAAAGCACATTTATGGAGGAGCTGGGGAGCCTGAGGGAGGGAATGTTTGCTTTTCTTCCTGTACTTTCACAAAACCCCCGGGAAGCTGGCCAGGCGCCTTAGACTGCCTCTCGGATCTCCCACAAACTGGCCCCAGCTGACCTTTGCAAATTCATCTCTCATTGTCCCCCTGCAGGGACTCCAGCCCCCCAAATGCCTTTCTTTCATGACAACAGCCCCTCCTTTGCTCACACCAGCCCCGCCCTCCCCCCAA